CCCAAGTCCAGGCTGCAGACTGTGGAAATGTTGTGACTTCCTGGGCAGTCAGAGGCTTTAGGAGTTTGGGTCTACTCCTGGAACAGCCATGGTCAGGGCTGCTTTACATCTCCTTGACCATCATTGGGCCTGGCCCAGTGTCGGGTGGAACGGGGAGGTTCTCATTCTCGGGTCTCTCAGCTACTGCAGATTGATACTGCGGGCTGCATGGAGGTAATTCGAGAGAGGAAGACCCAGGCACGTGCACTGCCCGAGCCTGGCACCCAGAACCCCCAACCACATCTGCAGGTAACAGACACGGGCAACAAGAAGGTCACACTGGGTATGGTGGCATACTCCTGTAATCCCAGCACTCAGAAGGTAGTAACAGGCAGATCTCTGTGAGTTCAAAGTCAACCTGGTCTACATAGTGAGTTTCAGGCCAGCCGGGGCTACATAATGAGACCTTGCCTCAAAAACAGGAGTGAGAGCCGGGTGGTGGTGGCACACACCACCTTTAATCCCAGCACTCGGGAGGCAGAGGCAGGCGGATCTCTGTGAATTCAAGGCCAACCTGGTCTACAGAGCGAGATCCAGGACAGGCACCAAAACTACACAGAGAAATCCTGTCTCAGAAAACCAAAAAGTACTGCCCATCCCCTGCCCCATAGTGGCCTAGGTTCAGTGTCTCAAGCCTTCCTCAGAGGGACAATTCCCAGATATTTCCATGGAAAAGTTGGCTTTCCCTCAGAACAGCCCTAACCATACCTTCTCCAGGGAGGCATCTGTGTGAGCCGCCCCACGGGAAGCCTGATTAAGTCTGAGGCAGGTGCACTCTGTGAGTAGGCTGTGGGTAGGCTTGCCAGCTGCAAGGCCTGGTCTCTACGAGACACTAATACCATCTGTTCTAGAAACCAAACTCATGAGTTTAGAGTGGGGAAGGTTTTACCTTGGAGCCCTGTCACCTGGGGAGACCGAACCCAAATGGAACTCTGGTGCCCGTAGCCCATGAGCCCCACACTGTCCAATGATGACTTGACAAGCTCCGGCCAGGTAGCCTTTAGTGGAACTGTACTGGAAGCCTACAGCAGCAGCTGTTACCCTTCCCCAGGACCCCTGAGCTCAGTGCAGGTGGGAAGGCCCCCAGAGTTGTGGGTGAGTGGGAAGAACTAATGGGATCCAGCAAAGATTCTCCAGGCTGACTGTCCTCTCTTCACAGGCATCCTCCAGTGCCGAGAACAGCACAGGTACCATCTGCCACATCTTTCTCTCTTTTGGTGGGAAATGCCATGCATTTGAGCCACAGTGGCCCTGAGAATAGGCCTGGAACTGCTCAGGCTCTCAACTTCAGGCAGCCACTGGGGGCTCGGGGCTTCTTGTCATGTCACGTGAGGGGAGAGCCCAGCAGTCTTGGTGTTGAGGATGCTAGATGTTTAGGAGCCGATCTCTCACGGCTTGTTAGATGGAGACTGGGCTGTCCCTGGCATCTGTTGCCCTCCCTGTGAACAGAGTGCACATGGGCTTGCTGGTGTTCCTGGGCGCAGAGCCTGGAGTCCTCAAGCTAGTTGTCTCTTCCTCTAGGCTGCATGCCGGGTCAGCAAACTGCAAAGAGAGACAGCCACAAAGGGCGTCCACGGCTGGGATCCTGCGGGACTGAGGCTGCCTCCCTCCAAGTTCCTGTAACAGCCCCACATGGCTTCCGGCCAAAGCCCAAGACTGTATCTGAGCTCCTTCGTGAGAAGCGGCTCCGTGAGTCCCGTGCCAAAAAGGCCACTCAGGCCCTCACTGCTGTCAACAGCCAGTTGCTGATCTCCTCGCCTGTGATCCTCCAGCCCCCTGGGCTGCCAGCCCACCAGGGGTCCCCAGTGGCAGGCCCTGCAACACCCAGCGGAGAACTCTCTGTCGCTGCGGCCCCAGGGATGGTCGGTTCAAATTCTCCTGGCTCCTGGCAGGGGGCTGGGATCTCAGCCACAGACAAGCAGCCTCCTACCCTGCAAACCATTCCCCTAAACCCCTCCCACAAAGGGACCCCGATTGTGGCCCCTGCTGCTTTTAGGAGCCTGGCCCTAGCTCCCAGGCAGGTCCCCACAGGCTGCCCTCTGAGTACTCTAGGACAGTCTCAGGCCTCTGCCACATCCCAGAAGCAGGACCTGCCCAAGGTCCTGCCCCTCCCAGCAGCCCCCAGCCCCAGTCAGCTGCCTGTGCAGCCCCTCAGTCTACCACCAGTTCTTGGCCCACAGGCAAGTGGGCAGCCCCTGGCAGCCAAGGCCAGCCTTCCTGTCAACTGGGTGCTCACAAATCAGAAGCCGCTCTCTGTCCCAGTGCCAGCTGTGGTGGGCCTCCCCCAGTCAGTGACGACCCCTGAGACCATAGGGTCACCGGCAAAACAGCCACCTTCCCCTGCCACGACTCCTGCTTGCCTGGGACAGCTTCCAGCCAGTGCAGACACAGAGCCCAAAGGTCCTCAGGGCCAGGAAGTACCACCCACATCTGGGCCCAAAAAGAAGGCCTTGGACCTAAGTCTGCTTTCCCAGGAGAGTGAGGCAGCCATACTGCCATGGCTGAAGGGGTGCCGAGGTGCTTGTGTGCCCCCACTGGGGAGCAGGATCCCCTATCAGCCCCCTTCACTGTGCAGCTTGAGAACATTGTCCAGCCTCCTCTTCCATAAAAAGGACTTGGAAGAGAAGGCTTCCTCTCTGGTCGCCAGCCAGGCAGCTGGGTCCCAATCTGAGCCCAAGGCTGGAGCCCTACAAACTTCCTTGGAACTGGTACAGAAGCAATTCCGGGACAACCCAGCCTACCTCCTCCTAAAGACACGTTTCCTAGCTGTCTTCTCTCTTCCTGCGCTCCTGGCCACTCTGCCACCCAACGGTGTCCCTACTACCCTGTCACCAGCCATGGCTGTTGGTTCTGAAAGTGACAGTGAAGACCTTGGTGACCTGGAACTCAAGGACAGGGCCAGGCAGTTGGACTGCCTGGCCTGCAGCATACAAGCAAGCCCAGCAGCCACAGACCCGGTACAGGTAAGGATGCTGTGACAGGCGAAGGGTTCTGCAGTGCCTTGCCTATCTGTGTGTCTGGCTTGCTGGGAGTGGTGAGCTGGGCAGGTGGAAGTTGTGCAAGGAAGCATTCTGTGGGTTTCTGAAGGAGGAGGAAGCCTGTCTAGTCTGCCCGGTTTGAAAGGGCTTCTTAGCAGAAGTTGCCTCTCCTGGACTGGCTGTAGTAGAAGAGGGAGGCAGCCTTCTACTATGATGTAGCCCCACCCCACACATACAGCACACACCCAAACTCAAGGTAGAGAGGCAGGCCTGACACCTGACCCTGGGGTGGGCTGTGGGTACAGTGTGGGTGGCGGGGGGATTGCCCTTGTTCGTGTTCTTGTGGGTAGTTTCTCCCAGGCGTCTCTTGCTCACAGAGAGCTGGCCTGGCAAGACAGTCTGGTTCCCATGGGAACCTAGGGACAAAATGTGCAGACCCATTTCCCTGTCCTCCCTGGCTACTCCCAGGGAGCCCTAGCAGGCCTCTTCCCCTGCGAGGGTTAGAAATGTGGAGCCTTCACACAGCTGTCACTACATCCCTGCTGGTGCTACCCTAGTTCCAGGGTGACCTGGGCATCTCTAGGATATGTTCTTGTCTCTGTCTCCATTGGCCAGCACCTCAGAGCAGGAGATACCATGGAATTGCCTAATGGTTGGAGACCCCGCCCAAGGGGCAGACTGTAGAAAGCTAGCACGGCTGCTCCCATGTCCCTGTCCTGGGGAAGCAACTGCCTGTCCCTGATGATAGGGCTTGGGTGGTAGTAGGGGCTGTCCTGAGAGTCCTCCCTTCCCCATTCCCTGCCTAGTCTGGCCAGGGTCACTCTTGTCTTCCCTGGCCTGACTTTTTATTGTTTCAGAGAGCTCCAGGTCCTGGTGAGGATTCTGCCCCCTCCCACCTGGATGCTTCTGATGACCTTGATGTGCTCAGGACTCGGCATGCTCGGCATTCCCGGAAACGGAAGCTGCTATGAGCAGCAAGGTGAGTCACTGTGGAGACTGCCACCCTGCAACCAGGAAGAGTTTAGAATATGGGCTTCCTCTGCCTGCTCTGGGAACAGCTGAGCTGAGGCAGGGATAGTGCTAGCAAGTCTGAAGGCTGGACTTAGGCGGACAGGGCAAGGCTTCTAGAGGTGCTTTTGGAACACGTAATGCCCCTTGTCCTCCGTCCTTCCCTACCTGAAGCCCCATGTTGCCCAGGGTGCCTCTAGGCCTTGGCACTTCTCCCTCTGCCTGAGTTCTATCCCCTCTGACTGCTTTTCTGAGGTGGCACTGTTGCCTCAATGTAAGTCTCAGGTGTTCACCACACGCAGCCCATCAGCACAGTTACCTGCCCGTGGTCTCTGACCACAAACCAGACTGTCCCTTGCTTTCATGACTGAGTCCCTGGGTCCAGGTCAAGGTAAGCAAGGAAGGCGATGGAGCTGTGAGCGGTAGGTATCCAGGATGTTCTAGTTGGCTCATAAAGCCACCCTAAGTTGTGCCTCCTGTCCTCATAGTGCCAGCTTAGTCCCTACGCTTCGGCATGCCATCTGTGGGGTCTGTCTCGGTGCCTGGGGCCTGCTGGGGTAAGAACACTATCAAGAGTATCCCCGTGTTTCAGGACAAGGACTCAAGGGCTCCAGAAACCCACTCTTACACCAGGCAAGAGGCAGAGCCCAGGCCTGACCAGAAGCCCACAGCCTTCTGCGAGAGGAAGCGGAGGCCAGGAAGCTGCAGGCCTGCAGACTAACCTGTCTACAGCAAGCCACAGTGACTCCAATAGCAGTGGCCCTGTGGTCACAGGCTCAACTGTGACCAAATGAAATCCACATATTTGAAGGAATAAAGTAAATGTCTATTTTTTTTCTTTAAAAGCACTCCATAGCCCTTTGTGGTTTTGTCATCTCGTGCTGGGTACCCACCAGCATCTGGGGATGTGTTTGCCTGCCAGTCCCAAGAGCCTCCCACACCCTAGGCTGCCCAAGCAGCCCCTGGACCCAGTACTTCACCAGAGAGCAGGGAGAATGGAGAAACAGCTCTTCATCGCCTTTCATGAAAATGTGTCAGTTGGCCTGTACCTCCCTAGACAGGGTCCCTAGAACCAGCATCCATCACAACAGCAGCTCCCCCTCGTGATGGTAGTAGGCATGTCTTTGGCATGGAGCCAGGACCCAGCTGGGTCTTCCCTCTCCCTTTCCTTAGTCACTGTTGTGATCCCAGACTCTCGAGTCCCAGGCCCCTTGGCTCTCCAGGATTTGGTTTTTACATGTGTTTCATCCTCTGTTGTGGGAAATTTCCAATGCAAAGTAAAAGGGCAATTGTGACCAGCCTGGTCCTGGTGCTTGTCCAGCTGTCAACAGGGGATAACCGCTCGACCCAGCGATGGCTCATCATGCACAAACCAGCCTGGCTGCCTACTGATCGGGCACATCATGCATCCAGGGGCCAGTCTTTTTAGTGGCTCCCTCGAACCTCCACATTAGATTTCTTCATTTTGGAGCACTTGGGGGTTTTCAGGTATCTTTGTGCTATTGATCTCCACATCGGGCTTATGGCCAAGAGATTGGCATTTTTATTAACACTTTAAGAAGACACCATGATCTGTGTTTCTACTATTTGAAGACAGCTGTGAAGGCCTGGTGCTGGTTTCCCTAGGGTGACTGGAAAGCCATGAACCCCTCTCTTTGCCATCCTGGAAACCCAGGCAAAGCACAATCCCTAGCAGCGTGGCTTCCAAAGGCCAAAGAGGACTCCTTATTGCCTGCTTCTGGAAGTTCAGGGCCACTGTCCCCACAGGAGCCAGCAGAAAGGCAGAAGGTCGCAAAGGAAGGGACCAGTTGGGCCTCTGCTCGATATAAGCTTCCCACCCTTCCCACAACAGCACTGGGAGCTTCTGCCTTAACTCAGTCCAGCAGGCCAGGCAGTAGCACCTGTCAAACAGCTACACTGGCTGGGCAGGGCTGGCAGGTCCCCACGCCCATCTCAGGCTGACTCTTGAAGGGCCACCCTGAAGTAGAGGCTGTGGCACACAGTCCATAGAGGACTAGCTGCCTGTAGCCTGTGGATTTTGACCAAGCCTTGTCCTGGTGCCTGGACTGGCTCTGCAACTCCTTGGATTAGCTCCAACTTGACTCCGTGTCCTAGAGGAGAAGGCACAGGGTAGGGATGCTCTAATGATGGATTGGGGTGCCGTATCTCTACTGAGTGTCATATTGTGGACTGTCAGCTTTGGTATGGCTGGAGTCTATGAGCTCAGGGTTGTAGCTAAACCCTTTACCCTATAGTCCTGACCCTGTCCTGCCACACCTAGCATGCACCACTGTCCCTGGATGGTAGGTGAGGGTATTAGACACAGTGCCATGCTGGAGAAGCAGCTTTCAGAAGCCTGGATCCAGGAGGGCCTTGGACCACCTGTCCACAGTGCCCGATGTTGAGATTCTCTATGGCTCCAGGCCCTGGTCCTGGGCTTATGGCAGGCAGGGAGGGCTCCTTTGCTCCCAGGACACTTCTGCTTCCCTCTGCTCTATTCTGTAATAGCCCAATCAGAAGGCAGACCAGCAGGGGCTGTCCTCCTGTGGGAGGACCGGCTGGCCTGTGGCCTCAACCAGAACACAGCAGGAAGTGCACAGCCTCCCTCTTGGCTCCACCCTTCTCCAGTCAGGGAGCATCTCCACACTCCCAGAGACCCATAGCCCAGGCAGCAGCCAGCTGGCAGGTGGCTCCCACAAGACCCTGAGGTAAGTTCAGCCAGTGTACCCTTCCTGGAAGGTGGGTGGAAGCCTGTGGCGACTCTGCTGGGGATCCTGGAGCATATACCCTAGCGCAGGAGTAAGCGCCCACAGTCAGGTGGCCTCTCCATTTGGTTAATCCTTGTTCATTGCAGCATAGTTCTCCAGTGCTGGGACTGTGTGGCTATGGGGCTGGAATGGCAGGCAGTTGGCCCAGGCTTCTGAGAAACGTCCACTGGGTTGACAAGAAGGTGCAGCAGGGAGCTGAGAAGTGCTTCTGAAGAACAAGCCAGCCTGCCATGGCTGTGTCTAGAGCTAGTGATCCAGCTTCTCTGGGCAGGATCTCTGTTCTCCAAGGGCTGGAGACTGGGCCAGGGGCTCTCTATGGCCACCTTAATTCAGTCCTAGAGTCACTGAAGCCCCTCAAAACTGTGACTTCACCTGTCCACAGGTGGAAGCGGCGGGTAGTCCCACATGAGTAATCCCCCTGTGAACAACTGGCCTGATTGATCCCCAGCACGTGGCCTGAGGCCAGAGCTCATCTGGAGCAGAAACGCACAGGGTTTGCTGGTGCCCAGCTCCCAAAACACTGGAGGGGAGCCGTAGCAGATGTCTGGAGACTGTGGATGGCATTGCCTGCCCATCCAGTGTACCCCAGCCTGGCGGGGAGATAGACCCGCTCCTATGCCAACCCTCACTTGCCCTCCCGGAATGACACCATGTCACAGGCAGCTGCCAGGGGGTTGTTGCATCACTGGCTGGCTAGAGCGGAAGGCTTGAAGGGCACAGGGCCTGTCAGAGAATGAGGAAGTCACACACAGGCCTGGCTCCCTGGCAGAGTGAGAAAGCCTCCAGCCAACCCGCCTCTCAGTCCCAACCTGGACACTGGCCAGCAGGAGTCCATACCACCCGAGAAGGAGTAGTGTAGGATGGCTACTGGGGGCAAATCTCCCTACATTCATCTACCTTCAGGGGGCACCAGAGTACTTCAGTGTAGAGGACAGAAGCCAGAGGAGGGCCATTGGACAAGGCGTGTTCTCTTTGACCCCAACCTGACATATCCAGGTGACTCGGGAAGAAAGTTTGAGGTGACAGGGGGGCAGGACAGCTGCTTGGGGAAGGTGAGCTTGACAGGGTGGCCTGAGGAGGGGCTATCCCTCAGAAACTGTGGAGCTGAGATGAGGCTGAGCCCTCAATATCCCTAGAATGAGCCCCTTGTGTCCCTGCCCCGAGCCCTGGCCTGGCCCTCACAGACCCGGGTCCTATTGCAGGCTGACTGCTCCAGGCCCAGCAGAGAACAGGAGGTGGGCTCTTCCTCAGCTGCTCTCCCCAGCTAACCTACAGAGGGCATGTCAGACTATGAGAATGACGACGAGTGCTGGAGTGCCCTGGAGAGCTTCCGGGTGAAGCTCATCTCCGTTATCGACCCCTCACGAATCACGCCCTATCTGCGCCAGTGCAAGGTTCTGAACCCGGATGATGAGGAGCAGGTGCTCAGTGACCCCAACCTGGTCATCCGCAAGCGGAAAGTGGGTGAGGGCTGCCCCCACACCAGCAGGGCAGGCCCTAGTCCCTCATGATCCCCACAAGACACGTGGCCAGAGGCTGCTGCGTGCTCTGCTGCCCTGGCCTTGTCCCCACCCAGTTCCGTCTCCATGTAGGATGTCTGAGTGAGAGCATCCTCCCCTCTTGTCATGCCTACCTGCTACTGCCCAGAGGAGGGGAGGGGAGTTCCTACCATTGCTCAGGCCGTGACAGTCACAAGACTGAAGGCAGCACCTTGCCCTGCCTAGACAGAGCTGCAGGGTGCCTCTGCAATGGCCCAGACCCCTCTGCTAGGTAGGCCCCAGAAGTGAGTGGGGGGGGGGGGGCGGTCCACAGCTTGGATCTCTACCCAGAGCAGACACTGCCCCACCTGGGCCCCCGAGCTTCCACCTACCCAGACCTTGGCCTTGACCCTGCCTCTTCCACCTGTAGGTGTGCTCCTGGACATCCTGCAGCGGACAGGCCACAAGGGCTACGTAGCCTTCCTTGAGAGTCTGGAACTCTACTACCCTCAGCTATACAGGAAAGTCACTGGCAAGGAACCAGCACGGGTCTTCTCCATGATCATTGGTGAGGGGCACAAGTTGTGGGCTGGTGCTGTGGGCGAAGTCAGGTGCCACTAGGTCCTGGCTTCTGTGATGCATCAGGGTGAATGCGTCTGACACAAGCCCTCTGGTGTATATCGGGGAGTGGTACCTAGTGACTACGCTCAGGTGCTCAGGGTCAGGGCTCCTGGATTGCTGAGGTCCTGCTGGTCTCCAGAAGGGGAGCCCTTCTCTGCTCTTCCATCTCCCATCCTGAGAGTATTCACTGAGATGCAGTGACCCCTCTAAAGTGCCATTTCCACGGGGCCCAGTTATTACCTAAGGGCAGAATCCTACAGTTTCCAGAGGGGACAGAGGTGTCCTCTTCTGATGGAATAGCCACATCCCAATCAGTCCTCATTCATCTCATAAAGATCATTATAAAAGTAGACAGAGGGCCAGGCATGGTGGCACACACCTTTAATCCCAGCACTCTGGAGGGACAGGCAGGCAGATCTCTGAGCTAGAGGCCAGCCTGATCTACATAGTGAGACCTTGTCTCAGGAAAAAAAAATAAAAGAAATAAAAATAAAAAATAAATAAATAAAAGGAGACAGAGCCAACTGGAGGCCTGGCATGTGAATGGTCCTGGGTGATGAGTTAGAATCTCGGTCAGTTCATCTGTGAGGGGCAGCAAGGCCGACTGGGCCTGGTGAACACACTCAGCCCTGAGGGAGCTTTCCCACCAGCTTTCTCTCTCTGGGAGGCCAGCAGTGCTCCAGCAGTGCTCCCTCTCCCCCTTAAACTGCTGGCCTTCAAGCACACACTCCCGGACAAGGACAAGCATAAGGTCTGCAGGTGACAGCCACAGGCTCCATCTGACACTGCATGGTCCCCAGATGCCTCAGGGGAATCAGGCCTGACGCAGCTGCTGATGACAGAGGTCATGAAGCTGCAGAAGAAGGTGCAGGACCTGACGGCCCTCCTGAGCTCCAAGGACGACTTCATCAAGGAGCTGCGGGTGAAGGACAGCCTCCTTCGAAAGCACCAGGAGCGTGTGCAGCGGCTCAAGGAAGAGTGTGAGCTGAGCAGCCGGGAGCTGAAGCGCTGCAAGGATGAGAACTACGACCTGGCCATGCGCCTAGCGCACCTGAGTGAAGAGAAGGGCTCGGCGCTCATGCGGAACCGGGACCTGCAGCTGGAGGTGATCACTTGCCCCACCCGCAGGGGGGTGGGGTCTGGAGGAGGCGGCAGCTGACCGGACCACCCACAGGTGGACCGGCTCAGGCACAGCCTCATGAAGGCAGAGGATGATTGCAAGGTGGAGCGTAAACACACACTGAAGCTCAGGCATGCCATGGAGCAGCGGCCTAGCCAGGAGCTGCTGTGGGAGCTGCAGCAGGAAAAGGACTTGCTGCAGGCCCGAGTGCAAGAGCTGGAGGTCTCTGTCCAGGTAGGGCTACCAGCAGTGCACACCAGGCCCCCGTTCTGCAGGGGCTCCAAGCTGGGCACGCCAGATGGTACAACTGCAGTGGCCAGGCTTGTTGCCCTCTGCCACCTCTAGGAGGGGAAGCTGGACCGGAACAGCCCCTACATTCAAGTGCTGGAGGAGGACTGGCGCCAGGCACTGAAGGAGCACCAGGAACAGGCCAACACCATCTTCTCCCTGCGCAAGGACCTCCGCCAGGCTGAGGCCCTCCGGACCCGGGTAAGAGACCAGGGCAAGCAGGCAGTGCCCACTGGGTACCTGGAAGGTGGTGTCTGGGATCTAGCTCAGTCTCCCCTTCACCAATTCCTGGTGCACAGTGGTGTCATGTCCACAGCTAGGGTCACCCTTTGGATTTACAGTGTGACCAATGGTAACTGAGACCGTGGCCTTAGACCAGGCTAGCCTGCTGTGGCCTGGGACTCCAGTGCCCTTCCCATCATCCCAGCTAGCCCGACCTTGTGCGCTCTGGAGATGTTGCCCTGCATCCAGCCCAGGGGCCAGGTGGGCAATGGAGAGTGGGTGGGGCTGAGCGTTGGTGCTTCCTGTAGTGCATGGAGGAAAGGGAGATGTTCGAGTTGCAGTGCCTGGCCTTGCGCAAGGATGCCAAGATGTACAAGGACCGGATCGAGGCTATCCTGCAGCAGATGGAGGAGGTCTCCATTGAGCGGGACCAGGTAGGTGCCACATTTGTGTTCAGAAGATGAGAACAAGAGGAGTGCTGGGGTGCCAGTGTAGCAGCCTTTGGAGCTGTGGTCAAAGCCTTTTTTATGTATTCACACTTGAGGTAACTTGGCAGCATTGAAAGAACCCGGGGCCTCTTGTACAAACACAGGAAAGTCTGCCTCTCTCACAGGAAGAGCTTATGTAGCAGGGGAGTCGCAGTGGCCCCTGCGCTGGTGAGGGTGAGGACAGGGGAGAGGAAGTTGCTAGCTGCACAGGTGGGGGGTGGAGGGCAGGGCATTGGGTAGAAGAGCTGGTGGTGGCTCCCTGGTATAGGTGGTAGTGGCAGCTCATACCTGTAATCCTAGCATTTGGAGGTTGAGACAAAATAATTACTGAATTTACAGCCAGCCTGGCTTACACAGTGAGTCCAGCTGGGGCTACAATGGGAGACCTTGTCTCCGAAAGCCAAAATCAACACCAAGTAGTAGCAGCTGAGCCAGGTTTGTTGGCACAAGTCCGCAATCGCAGGCTTTGGAGGTAGAGGCAGGAGGATCAGAAATTCAAGGCCATCCTCAGCTACATAGTAAATTTTACGCCAGTTTGAGATAATGAAACTGTCTCCCGGGAAACAAAAGAAAAAGCATGGTGTTCGTTTTAAGAACAGCCATCAATCTTGTTCTTTTTTGTTTTGTTTTGTTTTTCAAGGCAAGGCTTCTATGTGTAGTCTTGGCTGTCCTGAAACTCACTCTGTAGTCTAGGCCGGCCTCGAACTCACAGAGATCCGCCTGCCTCTGCCTCCCTAGTGCTGGGATTAAAGGGTGTGCCGCCGCCACCTGGCATTGATCATGTTCTTGATGTAAAGCGGCATCCAGAACTTACAAAACATGCCACATGGGTGGCACAGCGACACATACTGACTCTCTACTGGGGACATATGATGTCTTAGTTGGACCTCAAGGAACTACCTTGAGTATTGGTCACAGAGATTTTCAGCTGCTTCTTTGTGGAGTTTTCCTTTTAAAATCAACTTTATTTTTGATTGTTCTGAGACAGTGTCTTATGTAGCCTTGCCTCAAACTCAAAATATGTCCAAAGAGGACCTTGAACTACTGATCCTGCTTCTGCCTCCCAAACGCAAGGATGCTGGGCATGTGCTACCCCACCCAGTGTCTGCTCTTTTATACAGCAGCCCTGACTGCTTTGAGAATCCTCCCAGTTCAGCAACTCCAACTGCACAACACGGTGGCTGACATCCAGCCAGGGCCTTTGGTAGAGGCTGGGGTCTGTCTGTACAGCCAAATGAAAGCCAAGAGCATCACTGGCTAGGTCTCTTGCTGAGGGTGTGCCCTCTCCTATCCCTCCAGGCTATGGCCTCGAGGGAAGAGCTGCATGCCCAGTGTGCCCAGAGCTTCCAGGACAAAGATGAGCTTCGAAAGCAGGTTCGAGAGCTGGGTGAGAAGGCAGACGAGCTGCAGCTACAGCTGTTCCAGAGTGAGGGGCGGTTGCTGGCTGCTGAGGGCAGACTCAAACAGCAGCAGCTGGACATGCTCATCCTGGTAGGTCTCCGTGTCTGCTCTATCTGGGGTAGTCTGGGCAGTGAGGGAGCTGGGGAGCACACGGGGTCAGGGCAAGATTCCAAGAGGGATCATGAAGCCTAGGGGCATCCCCAGTCCTAGCCTGGCATGGCTGGTGCCCTGCTTGTGGCTTCCAAAAATGCATGGGCCTTCCTGAGTCCCTTTTCCTCATGTTTGGAGCTCCTCATGTTGGGGTGATAGACATAGATGTAACTCAAGGTTAAGTCAGCACATAGGACTTTTGGATAGTGGCCGTGAGCAGGGTATAACCTTCAGGTGGCTTGGCAGGGTGGTATTAAGAAAGGCAGATGTTCTGGGCAGGGTCCTGAAGAGATGGCATGGCTGAGATACATGCAGGGCCTCCCTAGAGGATGGGGCTGGGGTGGGGCCCTCACCACACCCTGCATACCCCATGCCCAGGTGCTTAGAGCCCCTGTGTCCCACTGACCAATTCCCTTTTCTGTGGCCACAGAGCTCTGACTTGGAGGACAGTTCACCTAGGAACTCCCAGGAGGTGAGTGTGATCCAATGGGTGGGCACAGAGTGGGCCTCTCCCTGGCCTCCAACCTCCATCTGGCCCCACACTCATCTCACACGGGCTGTCCCTTCTCTCCAGTTTTGGGTTGGATACAGGGGACAGTGCTGGCTAAACGCCAAGGTACAGACCAATGCCTACATCCTGGCCTCTTAGGACATGAACTTTATGCTAGCGTTCCCCTTGCCTGTTGGCCTGGCTGAGACTGAGTCCATGAGGATCTCTGTGCAGAGGGGTGACTGTAATGGCCACTGAGGAGCTAAAGTCAAGTGGGCAGTGGGGTCAACCACACCTAATCCCAGAACAACAAAGGTGCCTTGTAGCATGGCCTAACTGGGTGGGTCTTTCTGTCTGGAAGCTCTCACTGCCTCAGGACCTGGAGGAGGATGCCCAGCTCTCAGACAGAGGTGAGGAGGTGGGGGTGCCATGCACTGCCGAGCCTGCCCTAGCCCAGCTCTCAGACAGAGGTGAGGAGGTGGGGGTGCCATGCACTGCCGAGCCTGCCCTAGCCCAGCTCTCAGACAGAGGTGAGGAGGTGGGGGTGCCATGCACTGCCGAGCCTGCCCTAGCCCAGCTCTCAGACAGAGGTGAGGAGGTGGGGGTGCCATGCACTGCCGAGCCTGCCCTAGCCCAGCTCTCAGACAGAGGTGAGGAGGTGGGGGTACCATGCACTGCCGAGCCTGCCCTAGCCCAGAGGCACCTGGGCTGTCGTCTCCTGGCCTCCCAGAACCCTGGCCCATCCTCAGCACACAAAGCTGTGTGACTTATTCTGTCTCAGAAGTCACACCACTCCAAGGATAGAGAAACTGAGGCAGAGAGTGGCATCGGTGAAGGGCTAAATTATTAGGCTAACACACACAGAGAATAAGGCATCTGATTTGAACATGGGACTTAGGTCTCAGGGCCTGTGGCTCAGAGGGCAGTGAGTGTGGAGCCCCTATCCTGCCTAGGCTCACCTTCCCCCACCAGCCTTCCCCCTGCAGAGAGATCTACCAGCCAGTATCCAGGTGTGTTCAAAGAGGAAGGAAGGGATGGCGCTATGGACAGAGCAGCAGGAGATGGGGTTGTGTGCTATCCACAGTAGCGGGCCGCCAGACAGGACGCCGCTCTGGTCTGACCGTTGGCTCATTAGTCCTGGAGATGGCAGCTGGGGGAGCTGGGGAGAACAGTGTCCTGAAGTAGCTGGAGGTGGGAGGTGGGGGGGTCTGGTGCAGGGAGGAGCCCTGAGAGCTGTCGTGAGAAGTCCAGCAGACTTCCTCAGCTCAGCCTTACGCCGGGCTCTAACCAAAGGCAAAAGAGGAACAAGTGCTGATGGAGAAGTGTGGAGGTGGGTCACCACCGCAGCCCCCAAGACCCGACTCTGAGCCACAGAGCTCCATGTGGGCACAGAAGGAGGAGAGCCCGAGAACAGCCGGCTCCCCGAAAGCCATGCCAGGAGCTAGGCACCATGAAATTAGAGCGGTAGTGGGTAGGTCTGCTGGCTGCTCTCATACGCAGAGTCCTCCTTGGATAGAACTGTTTCTTGATGTTCATAGCCCTCCCTGGACTCCTGCCTGGAGGCTTGAGCCTTGGTCTGCCCAGGACCTTGGGCATTCCTACTTTTCCTGGTCTAACTAATATAGAGTTCTTGCTCTCACCTCCAGAGGCCCTGAGCTCTCCACTGAGGCTGCTCCCACCCCACCCATGGGAACCACTAGGCACATAAATGTCACCAAGCCAACAGGGACATGGCCTGGGGCATGCATGAGCAAACTGTCCTGGGGACCAGGAGTCTTTCCTACCCCTCCACCCTTGTATGTTTGGTGACAGTCAGCCTGGAAGCTGGGGGTGGGAGGGGTAGGAGCCCTCTTGAGAGCTCCTGGCAGCCAAGGGCTGGCTCAGCCAGTCCCTGTCTGGGAACTGCAGTCTCCACTGGACTTCTCTGAGGATCCCAGCCCATAAGACTGGCCTGGGCTAGTGCTGTTGGGCTGTTTACACAGAGGGAGGTGGTGTCCGTGCTGGATGGGGCCCCACAAGCACAGCTCTCCCTTCCAGGTGTCCTGGCAGACAGGGAGAGCCCAGAGCAACCCTGCATGGCTCAGAACAAGGAGCAGCTTTCACAAACTCATGTAAGGCTGACTGGGGTCCCCAGAGCCCTGGGGAGGAAGGTGACTCCACCAGTATCCCTAGACAGCTGGGAATCACAAGATCTTTGCAGTGCATGCATGTGATGTAACATTCGGATAGTGTTTGGTACATGAAGTGGAGCCCCTTTTCTTGGACAGAACCGCAGATGTGGGGTGGTTGGATGGGGTGGGGCACAATGAAAGGACACCCGTACAGCTGTCCACTGCAAAGAAGTGTAGCAGAATTTCTCTGGGCCGCCAACCAGCTCCCAAATGACACAGAAACTTATTATTAGTCATGAATGCTCCGCCTTATCTTATGCTTGTCCCACTAGCTCTTACAACTTAATTTAGCCTGTTTCTCTTCATATACATTTTGCTTTTTTACCTTTCTTTCATTCTGTATGTCCTACTTTTCCTGCTTCCTCTGTGTCTGTCTGTCTGGCAGCTACCTAGCTGGCTGTCTTTCTCCCTTGTTCTCTTCTCTCTCAAGCCTAAATTCCTCCTCCTACTTATTCCCTCTGCTGCCTAGCTATGGGCCATTAAGCTTTTTATGAGACCAATCAGGTGCGTTAGGCAGGCAAGGTGAAACAGGAATACATCTTTACATAATTAAACAAATAAAGCATAAACAAAAGCAACAGACCTTTACCTAGTTAAAGTAATATTCCCCAACATAAACAAACGTAACCCACCTTTACATAGTTACAGTAATAGTCTACGAAGTCATCCAGTCAGCCTGGCTAAAGGGGTAGTTCCCCTATGCTCACTCATCTTGCAGTCCATCAGCCCCCCCACCCCTCAGCACCTGGCTTGGCTTCACACTTGCTTGGGTCCCAGGGCGGCCACGGGAAGGCCACAGTGTCCAGCTGCCGGCCGTTCCTTCTGCAGGGCACGGGGCCCAGCAGCAGCAGCGAACCCCCGGAGAAGGAGAGGCGGCGCCTCAAGGAGAGCTTCGAGAACTACCGCAGGTGCGGGGCAGCGGGCAGGACGGCCTAGGAGGGTGGGACACCTGCGTGTACCTGCTCACACTGCGGGTCCCACAGGAAGCGGGCGCTCCGCAAGGTGCAGAACAGCTGGCGACCGGACGAGGGGGACCGCGAGAACACCACAGGCAGCGACAACACCGACACCGAGGGCGCCTAGCGGACCGCGCTGAGGCTGAGCATCTGTGTGATGGTGAAGGGATGCTGCATTTTTTTACTGTACGCCACACACGCGCTGTACAAGGGTTGGAAAATGCAGCTAAATAAAATGACCGCCAAGCCGAGCCTGTTAGGTGGATGTGCACTCGGTGGGGACACCAGGGGGCGACAGAGGGCAGCGCGCCAGCGGCGACGGAAGCCCAAGAGGGCCGCTTCCGGCCCCGGCGCCCGTTTCCAAGATGGCTGATGCAGCCTCAGTCGCACGGGGCGGTGCAAGAAGGGGCGGCCAAAGACCGCAGACGGCATGTTACGGACAGCGCTGAGCCGTGTGCCCACACTACTGCGTATTGTGCGGACCCGGAATCCCGGCCCGGAGCGGCTCTGGGATTCGGGGGCTCGTCTGAGGACCGCGGAGAGACAGCGGGGCTGGGCCTGGGGCTGGCGGAGCTCAAGCTCCGCTGCGGGATCCGGGCCTGGGGCGGCGCTGGGGCGCGTGGAGGCGGACCACTACCAGCTGGTCTACACCTGCAAGGTGGGCCCGGTCGGCAGAACCTGGGGCTGGTTGACTCCCTGAAGTAGTGGGGTTCTGGGAGAAGGGAATGGAAGTATCTATCTTTCGGGCTGGGGAGGGGACGGGGTCTTAACGAGAGAGCTGGGAAGGGGTGGAGCCATCTTTGAGGGACCGGGCCTTTTGAGAGATGGGTGAGATTGTCAGGAGACAGGCGTTATGGGAAGGAAGTGACTGGGACCTCTCCTAGGTGGGACCATCGGGGAAAGAGTTGGGGCTGCCCCTCAGGGTGGAGTTAGCCCTCGGGAGGGGGCTTTCCTGTGTGTACCTGGCCTGACCACCTCTCTAACCCAGCTAGGTCTGTGGGACTCGGTCATCCAAGCGCATCTCAAAGTTGGCCTATCACCAAGGTGTGGTCATCGTTACCTGCCCTGGCTGCCAGAACCACCACATCATTGCCGACAACCTAGCCTGGTTTTCTGACCTGGAGGGCAAGAGGTAAGGCCAGCTGGGAGGGGTGGGAGTCAGGATTGTGGCCCTTTGTGAACCTGGGTCCTGAGCCAAGAGCCGGCTCAGGGGCCTTGCCTGGCTTCACTGGGACCCCTCTATCTGGACAGCCCAGCTTCCACGTGGATCTAGAAACCGTTGAATTTGAACTTTAGATAAACCATGAATAGCCCACAAATGTGGCAAACTACACCTCTAGGCAGCTCAGTCTAGTTCTGTGGCTCCACCTGTCACTGCCTGACTGACCTCTGACCTCTCCAATGGCCTCTTCACTTTTTTGTTTGTTTTTTGGTTTTTCGACACAGGGTTTCTCTGTGTAGCTTTGGAGTCTGTCCTGGAACTCACTCTGTAGACCAGGCTGGCCTTGAACTCACAGAGATCCACCTGCCTCTGCCTCCCGAGTGCTGGGATTAAAGGTGTGCACCACCACCGCCCGACCTGTCTTTTCACTTTCTAATGGAGGCCTTTTGCCCTCTGCCAACTCAGGGCAGGTGGAAGGGTATGTGTCAGACTGTGAAGTGGGCGCTGGCCTTCAGTTGGTGTTCCCATTTTTGGGAGGGCAGTGGCAAGGCCAGGAGCCAGTGTGGAGGATGGGTCTATGGCTGTGCCTGATGGCTTCTTAGTGTCCTCCTGAAAAGACCAAGCAGATGCCATAACAGGCTGCTCAGTCTTCTCTCAGAGATCAGGCCTCAATTTCAGTTTCCTGAGACTTGAGCAAGCAGTTTCTGGGAGGGCCATGAACAAAGACATAGTCCTTGCAGTAGCTCCCTTTCTGCACGTACTCTGACTGCTCAAAGTTCAGCCAGATGTTTACTCTCTGGGGCCCCTCACCAACTTAGAGTTATGTGCAGTATGTGCTTGGCCAGCCAGCCCCCATGGTGGCTCAAGGACAAAGCCTGGGACTTGTGCTGGACTGCCCCCAAAGTGATAAATTGTAACCACCAACCAGTAAATTCAAAGGTTACATACCCTCACCCAGTTAAAAGAGAACAGAGATAAAAATAAACCAATCCGAGTTGCACCCATGCAAAACTCCCCCAACCCCCCTGAAGGGCTTGTGGATTTTGCCTTTAAAAAGCTAGTCACACAAAGAAAAAGCAAGTTCCTCCTGGCTTCACAGTTACTACGGTTACTACGAGTGAGTGCTTTGGATTGAGCTTCCCTGCCCGCGGCTTGTAAACAGAAATAAACCTTGCTTTTGCATTCTGTACCTAAGGTCTTTGGTGGTATCTTTGGGGTCACAATCTGGGCATAACACTCCTGTGAGGAGAGATCAGAGGCAGGAGTATGGGCAGAGCCACAGAGGAAAGCCTGTGAGATAAGCATGCAGGCCCTGGGTCTCTAGGGTTCACCCGTTGGACATGCGGTGCAGAGAAATCTCAGCTCTGATACGTAGGAACAGGACAGAGCTGCAGGGATGGGTTCCTGGTGAGAGGCGGGGCCGAGGCCCCTGGTGGTACGCTGTGCAAGGGAGATGACACCCTGTTTGCTGGCTTCTGAGGTGGCACTTCCTAACACACACATTTGGTGAAGGTGCATTAGGTTACTGGTGTCACTCGGGTGCTCGGACAAGTGTTCCAAGCCCAGGCTGACCATGGGATGCCCTTGAGGGAGCCCAGTACAGAGCTAATGCTGCCTTCCTGTCTTGCAGGAACATTGAAGAGATCCTAGCAGCCAGAGGAGAGGAGGTACGCCGAGTGTCTGGTGAGGGTACCCTGGAACTGATTCTGGAGGCTGCTGAACCGCCTGCTGCCCCAGAAGGGGGTGAGGATCCCAGCCTCCCTGGCAAGACTGAACAGAGCTGACTTGTACACTCCTACCGTTGTGGACTTGTGCCCTCCAAAAGTTACTCCATTCACCTAGAACCTCTCAAGCCTGGGCTGTTCCTTGTCAGTAAACAGGTGTCACCTCCAGGTGCTGGGTGAGCTCCTGTTTTCCTTTTCCGAAGTCAGAGCACCTCTGTGGCTCTAGGACCGCAGCCTTGTGAGCATCATCATCCCCCCCCCCCCCCCCCCCCCCCCCCCCCCCCCCCCCCCCGTCAGAGGAGTCATCTCTGTCTGTAGTCCTCCTCTGGGGCTGGGTGCTGAGTTAGCCTTGTGGCCTCGGGCAGTCTCTGTTCCTCAGGGCTCTACTACTTCCTCCTGTGTGGCCTGCTCTCTGCTGGCTAGCACTGGGCGCTTCCATTGTGTGAGCTAGTGTCCAGCCCAGCCCTGAGGCATGGCTTTTGTCTGCTCAGTGCATAGACCCATAGGGTACTGCTCAGAGGCTTGGAAGAAGGGTGATCCCAACTGCCTGCACCTCGCAGTGCTTCTTCCTGTGCCGGGGCCTAAGGAGATGTGTGGCAGTGATGAGGGCCACATCATGCCTGCCGTGGTGGGCGGTTCATCTCCCAGCATCCTTTGACATGCCTTCAGGATGCTCTTGTGTTTAGGAAAACAAGCAGATACAAGACCAGGCCGGGCTGTCTGCAGGAGTCTCTGGGCCCCGTGACCTTCCACATTAATCACCAGCCCATCTGGCAGGGAAGGACCTGGGACAGGAGGGCGGAGAAGGGGAGTGTGACAGTCACACAATGCCGCCCTGTCTCCTGGGACCCAGCTAGTGATTAGCAGTTCACTCTAGGCCGTGGGAGGCCGGGTGCACTTGCAGACTGTGTCTCCACTCCATTACCCCGTCCTTCCCTCAGCCAACACCCTGTTATTATCCCCACCCAGAGCCTCCTGTACCATCTGTGCCAACTGTCACAGCCCCAGAGGTAGGACCAGCCCCCACCTCCAGCCTGCTCCCTGTGGAGGACAGAGGTCAGAGGGGACCGACTCCCTTGCGAAGGCCTTCAAGTGCAGGAGGCCAGTGGAACCTGGCGAGGCTGCCTTGTTGCCTTCAAGGGTCTGGACCAGAGTTCAGCTAGACTTGATGGTGCAGAGCTGGGTCTAGACCTGCTCTGGATGGGAAGTCAAAGCGCATGGTTTGGACTTAGCTCTGCATGCCTTCTGCACGCTGCTGCTCCCCATCTGGGGCTGCTCCGGAGTCCTCCCTTCCAGGGAGGCTCTCCTGGACATGAAGGTTTCACTTTTAAGCCTCACCTTCCACACAGACCATTATTGCACAGTCCATACCCTGACCCTGGACCACTGTTCCCAATCATGGCGGCTTGGAGTTGTTCTGACTAAGTAGTTAGGCTGTCTGTTCCTTCCTTCCTCAGTGGAGACTTCAAGGTACCACTCCAACAGCCTCTTGGCCAGCTCAATGTTTCCAGTGCGACTTCTATCGAGTGGCTTGGCCCTCACCACATTCCCTTCCCTTGGCAGCTCCTTCCAAAGTTGGCCTCCCAGCACCTAAGTCTTTCCAGCCTGCCTGGAAGAGTTTGGCTGCCTCTAGAGCCACCACAGTGCTCCAGACTCCCAACGACTTCTCTAGGATAGTTTATTGGTCTTAGCCTGTGTGTTGCCTCCTTTGGCCTAGGTCAGGCCTCTGCTAAAGGACCCAATCAGACTTGAGTTCCATGGGATGCTGCTCACCGCATGAACAATGAGGTCAAGCCAGGTCCTCTCCAAGCTCCTCTGTTGCTTGGACTTGGCATAGTCTAGTCCCGGTAATGTGAACTGCTAGGATGAAGGAAGCCCTGTGGCTGGAGCTAATCCAATCAGGGTGAGGCTGCTCAGAAGGGCCAGTCCTCACCAGTTTGCACAGTGACGTCCCTGGCCTCTGCTACCTGTCTCTGGAAAGGCAGGACAATGAACAGCAGAGGATGTAGCCTGTAGAGGCCCTGGCCCCAGCCCCTCATTGTTACACACAGCAGGGACATATTCCTCTTGATCTCGGCATGTATGCTGGAGGACACTGCATTGGACAAGCCAGTCCCATGTCCTGGGAAGGCTGATACAAATTCCAACAGAAGCCACACTCACTTGGCAGACTTTTATTTTTGGGTCAAACAAAAACGTACCTCTCGGGTTGGAAAGAACCCGTGGATAACATGGCAAACACATGTGAGCAATAAATACGCATGTACATTCAAGTATGCAGGCGGCCACTATGTCCCGCCCGAGACCCTGTGCTCTGGTATTTGCTCCTGCCCTTGGGGTGCTGTTGTCTCTCAGAAGTTGGGTCCCCAGGGCTGGCCCTTCAGTTTCCCTTGCTCTGGCCCCTCCTAGGCTGCAGGGTAAGAGGCCCTGGCATTGGAAGGTTGTACAGAGCCCTCCAGTAGGGCTACCTGCAGGATCTGCAGGTAAGAGCTGGGACCATAGTCCCCAAAGGTCTGTCTCATGGATGCCCCAGCAATCTGGCCTGAATCTCCACCCCAACTACAATGCCCTGTGTCCAACTCAAGATAATGCAACTGGACCCCTCGAGGAGAAAGCCAAGATATCATTTCCCTAGTAGAATGGGGTGGATGGTCACTGAGGGGACTGGAGGGTCTAGTTGAGCAGATCCCTCATGAATACCCTCTGCCAGCCAGCAGGACAAGAGTCCTCCTATGACAAGACCCTGCCTGTGTTTTTGGCTCGGAGGCTTGCCTTGTCCCCCTGCTGGAGAAGGTCCATCCTTCCTCAAAGACCAAGTGCAAGGCTGGGGACTGCTTGGTCAGGGTGTCTGGACTTTGTAGCTGCCAATCTCCCGCAGCGGAGTTGGGCACAGACAGGCCAGAATAGGGCCTGCCCTGGGGAGGTGAGGCAGAATACTGAGTGTACCTCCTGCATAGCCATCCCAGGACCAGCTGGGGGACAGAACATGCCATGCCACTGTAGACCCCAGAAGTCTTTTAGGCTCCTGTGGGGAGCTAGGGTGAGTTGGCAAAATTTCACATTTGGCAGGGCAGGGCTTGAGGGTCTGGACAGCACCGGGGCTTGGGGCCAACATGCTGAAGGCCCGGCCTGGAGCAGGGCAGGGCGGGGCCTGCAGGAAGCTATGGGCCACATGGGGACAGAAGCATGCCCTCCCCCATACAGCAGCTCTAGCCTGAGCCCAGCACCCTGGGGTGGGGGTTCCTTGAGGGCTGGGTGCCCACCATCTGGCTCAGTGGGAAGGGGTTGAGGGCTGAGCTGGCTCTCCATCATGGCCTAGGGAAGATTTGGCTTATCAAGGGGTCATGGCCACCGTGGACAACTGAATCCCCAGAGTCCGGGGCAGGGCATGCCTGGCTGGAGGGGTGAGGCCTTAGCTGGCACCTGGTGGACATGGCTGCCGAGGTTCATGCAGCCCACTGGTCTCCTGCTCCGGGCTTCCAGCAAGGTCCACACGCTGCTCGTCCATCCGCTTAGCCTGAACTCTCTGGATAAGGCTGAAGAAATCCTCGTCAGGCATGGTGGGGCCTCGGGGCAGCACATCCGGGGGTGGGCAGCGCTGGTCATCAATCCTGGAGGACTGGGCAGACACACAGTGGAGGTTGATGGTCTTGCGTGTCTTGGGCCTTTGGAGGGCCTATCCTGGCACTGGGTGGGCAATGGGCTTATTGAAAATCTGAGGGCAGAAAACACTGGCTTGGGGGAGTAGTGCACTCCAAGTGGGACCTGTTTCAGCCACCTCTTGCCTCCCTGGTTCTGGGGCAGTGTTAGAAGCCTTGCCCTGGCAATGTCTCTTGTAGACATCTCCCCAGAGCTGTGGCTGGCCAACTAAACAGCAAGGACCGGGTGGTATATTCTGGGCATAGAATAAGCCAGCCTAAGGCCAACTCCTGGGACCTGCTGATCCAAGGACTATACCCCTAAAACTACCCTGGAACCTAGCACAACCCTGCACTGCCCTTGGAGGGCCTGGGGGCCACAGCTCAGAGTCTGTTGCTTGGAAATCACCACCACCACCACCACCACTCCAACCCCCAACCCGCCAAGGGTCTCCTTTGGATCAATCAGCTGGCACCACAGGCCCTGTCTGTCGTGATGTGGAGGCTGGGGAGCCTGAAAGGTGGTGGCTTTTCTTCAGGGCCTGGAGCAGAATGGACTGGAGCTGGTGCAGCTGATGGCCCAAGTATTGGAGTGGGCGGGGCTTCTCAGGAGGAGCTGACTTAGAGGAGGCTGTCTGGACGTTGCTGTGGTTCTGTCTCCTCTGTGAGAATGAACATTGATCTGGAAACTTAGCCTGATGCAGAGGCGGAGTGCCGGCCCTGGTCATTCCTGTGTCTGACCAAGCCCCACCACGTACATGCTCTAGTTGGAAGGCAGCTGATCTGCAGAGTGAACCTACCACCCACCCTCTGTGCAGCCAGGCCTTGGGTAGGTGGCTCAGTTCAGCAGCACCCCAGCCTCAGCCCCATCCCATATAATGAGGCCCATCCATGGGGAGCCCTACCCTGGTCTGTCTTCATAGGCCTAGGCATGAAGATCTTACCTGTTGGCCCCATGGTGTGTGGTCTTTTTCAGAGCCATTCCTGCCCCTATTCCTGCAGCCAGCTGCTGATACCCCAGCCCTCCCTCCCTCCCAACTCCAGGGTGCACTTGACCCTCAGTTTCCTCTGCCCAGATGTGGAAGCTGGAGTGAACATCCCTGGATCTGGGGACCTGGAAAACCCAGGCTGAACTCCAGCACCAAAGTGTGCTGAGGCTGCTCTCGGGAGGTGCTTGGCCCCTTGGCAGAAGGAGGGCTTCAGGCCTGGGCATCTGTGGATGGTCCCTGACTCTGGCTGTGCCATCCTCATCCACCAGCTTGTTTCTGTGTCTTCCCCTGGCAACCCTCAGGCAAGACGAGACACAGAGAGACCACAGCGTGCTGTGGGCCTGCTAGGTGTCTACACTGCAGCTGGTAGAGGACCACCAGAAGGCTGGCCTGGAAGAGGCCCCACCCCTTGTCTCCTGAGTGCAGGCCCACCTGGTACTTGATAAGCATGTTGAAAAACTCATCCCCTGGCTCCTGAGGGTCCCCGTCGCCTCGGAGGTGGCCCACATTGTTGAGGGTGATGCGCAGCCCTGGCAGGCTGCCCACACTAGCCCTCTGGTCATCGAGCCGGCGGCTCTGAGAGCTGGCAATGAGGTCAAAGAACTCCTCAGTCTGTGGTGAAGCCGTCACGGAGGGCTGAGCTGCAAGGGACAGGCAGAAGGTGAAGCCTGGAGAGGGGGCCACTGGGAGTGCGGGCGTCTTGAACTGGCCCAGCTCTCTCCACGGGAATATGGCCCCAAGTAAGTCTCCCGTGCCTGGGGCTGCTCCTAACCATCCTGCCCCTGCCCCGCCTCCCACCTCTGCCTCCTAGGACTTCAGGAGCTGACAGGAGAAAGCTTTGGCCTCCCACACGCTCAAAGGCTGGGATGCATAGACGCTGCGTGTTCTTCAGGGTGGGGTAATTACATACTTCCCAGGATGTAGCTTCAGGGACAAGTGTGGAGGGAGCTCTGGGTGGTGGGGGCACTTTGCAGCTGGCCTATCCTGCCCCTCTGGACTGGCTCGATGGGGGCTCATAGGATTAGTGCTGGATCTGGCTGGTGGGCCCACCTAGGCTCTGTACTCACCTGCCCTCTCCTCCAGGGTTGGGGCAGCTGTGGCCTCGGCGGCCCCTGCCTGGCCTTCCTCCAGGGGGCAGCGCTGGTCATCCATGCGACTGCTCTGGAACTTACTCAGCAGGTCAAAGAAGCACTCCTCGTCAGAAGATGGGGCTCTGGGAATACCCTGGGTGAGGAGGGAGGCCCCAATTCAGCCCTCGGCGTCCCAGCGTCCCAGGACTGCCCACCCTTGGCAGGACTGCCAGTGTATGAGTGAAGACACTAACACCTGTAGGTCCTCTGTGCGCTGGCTGAGGGGAGGGCCCAGGTGAGGGAAGGGAAAGGGCTGGACCTCTACAAGGGTAGAGGGTGGCAATTCAGCTGCCTACTGCTGAGAGTTCCTTCCTGAAGAGGAAGAACTTTCTGGAGTCTGTGCCGCGCTCTGGATCCCTGGGCTGATTGGATGGCAGGATCTGTCCTTCAATGTGTGGGTAGTAGCTAAGTGGGGGTCTAGTCTAAGGCCTAGGTCAGGGATGACTGTCCTGAGTCCAGATAAGTCATGGGGGTGGGGGAGGCTACTTCCAAAGGGAGGGTCTGGGTCTGTGAATCCTGAGCATCAGGTGACCGGAGCAGGTTGTACCATTCCAGACTCAGTTTTCACATCCTTGGAGGGAAGGGGTATAACTCTGGCCTCCTCTGCAGGCTGGGTCTCAGAAGCCTGGCCTGGCTGGGGTCCTGGACTGGCAATGGATGGGATGGGGTCCAGAACCACCTGCTGCAAGAAGCTGGAACCTGCCCCTAGCCCACCAAAGTCCACACAAAGAGCGAGGAAGCAGTGACTGGGAAGGTCTGGTTCTGCACAGCGTGGCCTTCTGAATGCAGGAAGATTTCCACCAGAAGGCACTTCCCATGCCTGGGATTGCCCTGCACACAGAGGCACAGGCACAGAGAGGTTGCATGGCCTACCCAAGGTCACACAGAGGTAAGAACAGCACTGAGATCAGAACACAAGCAGACCCGGTAGACAACCCCAGCTTAGGACTGAACTCCGGGACTCTGAAGGCAATGCGGACCCAGTCACGGGAGCTACAGACAGGGCAAAGAAGAGAGAGACCCTACTGGATCTGAGTCCCCAGGCTGACCTTGCTCTCCTTCAGGCTCTGTCCTTCTGTGGCCTAAATGAGCTCTGCAGCCTGACAACAGCCAGGAGAAAACCCAGAGCCAGAAGAAAAGGGAGCGCTAACATACACAGTCCAGCCAGAGGACACTGAGCTCTTGGGCGGAGCTGCACTCCTTGAGGCCAGTGGAGGCTGCACAGGTATGTCTGCAGGACTGGACGTCTGCAGGGTCCAAGCTGCACTATAGAAAGGGTCTGCCTAGCAACCCCCGCCACACACACACACACAGCCCCTGAAGGATCTGTTCTGAGACCCTCTTGCCCTCACTCCTGAGCTGTCAAGATATGGTAGAACCATATCCAGGCTGGAGACTCGGGACTTGGACTCCCTAGGCTTACTGCCCTGCCCCTCCCCATCATACCCCTCAGGAGCATGATCCCATGTCTGAGAGGGTCTTGTGAGGACTGTGAAGGGCCTCCCTGTCCCCTGTCCCTTGCCCACAGCCTAAGTCTCTAGCTCTTTCCTAAAGGTCTGACTTCATCATGAGGTCTGACTGTAATCTGTACTGCTTGAGTTTAAGCCCAGGTCCTAGAGAAGTGTACAGACCTGGCCCAGCCCACCCCTACCCTGGCTGACTGAAGTCCCTGCATGCCCAAGGACCCACACTCACACAGGATCACAGGCTCCCTCCAGCAGCAGCAATCAGGAGTTGTATGGGCGCCAGGCCACGTGCAACCCAGGCAGGATGCCAAGGTGCCAGGCACAGCCGCTATCACCTGCCCGAAGTGCCAAGTGTCTCCTCACTGCCGCTGCTGGGACCCACAGTGTTCGCCGGATGCTTAAATAGGAGCTAGGGAGAGGCTGGGCTCTCTCAGTACCCGCCCTCACTGCTGCAGCTCACGAGTGCTTGAACACACACACACACACACACACACACACACACACACACACACACACACACACACACACACCAGGGAGAAGAAGGCTGGGCTCTCCCAGTACCCTCACGGCTGCACCTCACGAGTATGTAAGGATTCTCTCTCTCTCTCTCTCTCAACAATGAGCTGGCTTCCCCCCAGCTCAACAGAGCACGCCCCTTGAGGCCTGTGGGTGGGCATGCTAAAGGCTGTGGGGGTGGACAGCTTATTTGAAAGCCCTTTCCCACCCAACCCCTTGGCCCCTGGGCTTCCTTCCAAAGCTAAATCTGGGGCCCTGGGAGAAGCAGTCTCTCCCTCAGCTTTGCTCCTGAGGCCACCCCAGGTGGACTCTCACTCTGGCCTGGGCAGGCCTTGATGTTGGCAGGGTGGCCCTCACCTCCACCACAACCTTCCTCTAAGCCCATGGATAAAAGACTGTGTGTTCCCTTCATAGCTCCCCAAAGCCTCCCTGTAATAGGAATAAAGTGGGCTGGAGTGGGGCTGAAGGCAGCCGCCCCGGCAGGAAGGGTGGGCTCCAGGCACTAAGAATAACCAAGGCCCCTACGCAGCACAGGCCGACGGAGCCTGTGGCAGGGTGAGGGTGTTGTATGCTACTTCCTAGAGCCTCAGGACCCGGGTGCCCTGCACAAAGACTTCTAAGCCTAAATTCAGACTCTGTCTCTGGACCCCTACCAGCTCCCAGTGCCTGGAGATTCTGCCCAGGCACAGTGGGCACCTATTGGCCCTGGCAGGCCCCACCCTCCACCCACTGGCCACCAGTCTTGTAACTGGCCATTGAGCTACCCATTTTACCATTTCTGTGTGCTGCCAGGGACATTGAGTGCTCCCAGGTCTGAGCTGTGGGTTCCTGCCGGGCCATACCAACCCCCGACCAGGTCTCCAGTCTAGCTTTGATCAGGATGCTAAGCCCAGGTGGACTAGGTGGCACCTCCCAGGCCAGACCTTGTTGGAACAGTGGGCAGATGCTAGCTCCCTGCTCCCCCTTCCACATCTGGCTCTACAGCTGTGCACTAGCCACCCAGCATGCCCCTCCACATGATGCCCCTCCACATGATGCCACTCCCCAAGACCAGGCATGTGCCCCCTCTCACACTGAACTAAGGTCTTTTCCTTGGGATCTGCCCCATGGGCAAGCTTGGGGCCTTCCCACCCATCTCCAGCCACCCCTCGCATCCCTCAGCTCAGGGCCACCACTCTGCAACTCAGGAGACTCCCCAGAGGCCTCTTAAACCCTGAGCCACATTGAGGAGTTGCAGGCGGTACCATTTCTAAGGCTCAAGGCAGAAGACCCCCAAACTGGAGCCCCTGCCTGGGATCCCCAAGTTCGGGTCTGTGCCTAGGCACTCTGGAGCTTCTAAGGTGACTGCTGAGGTGCAGAAGGAATCCCTGGAGAGGGCTGTTCCACCCAGCTTCTTCAGCTTGTACAGCCAAGTCTCCAGGGTCCCAGCAAGGCAAAGACGGGGCCTGTGACACAGAGGGAGACCACCTGCAGACTAGTGACAAGGGTGGACACTGAGGCCCAGAAAGAGACAGAGCCTGTCTGCAGGAGGGCTGACCTGGAGTGCCCATGAGGGCTCCCGGAGGTGCGGTTATGAGCTCTGTACCCCACAGAGTCCCTGGACCACACAAGGCCAGGTGGAGGGCCCAGCAGCTTACAGCTCTGCCTCCCTGAGTAAACAGTTCAGCCTTGACCCCCCGCCCGGCTACCAGGCTGGATGGGCAGAGAGAGGGAAGGGAGGAGGGCTCAGTGTTCACAACTGTCCCCTCGACTCAGGAGGCACCTACCGTACGAGGCACCTGTACCCTTACGTCAGCGCTGTCCAGTGGAGAGTGACTGCCCTCCCGAGGTCGCCTCTCAGTGGCATCTGCCCCTTCCTGGTACTTCCTGCTCCTCATGGGGAGGGGGAGCAAGTCCCTGCCTGGTCCCCTCCAGTCCCCTGTGTGGTGGGTGTCTCCATTTTGCTCCTGGAGAGGGAAAGGCAGGTTGGACATGAGCCAGGGCAGTTTGAAACCCAAGTCCCCTCTCAGCAGCTGGCCCAGCCGCCCACCTTCGTGGACGCACACAGTAGGTACTCAGTCTCTGACGAACGGAACAGGAAGTAGAGCGGGCACAGAACGAGGCAAACACTGGAGGAATGCCAACTTCCTTAAATGTCAGCCTTCTAGTGCTAGGCAACAGGTGACCGTAGGTGTCCCTGGCCTTGAACTCATGTTATGCCCCAAAGGCTATTTACAACTAGAAGATCAGGGAGGACAGGCCACAGTGGACCATACAGTACCCACACTAGTCCCCCCCAGATTTGGGGTTTGCCAAAACCCAACAGCTTCTCCAACAATAACAGCCGTCCTGCTCCCCCCACCCCCAGAGTCAGTCCCGTGGCAGGGAGCAGACAGGAACCCAGGACATGCCACCCAGGGAAAGCTCATGCCAGAGTGGACAGTCAGGACACCTCAAGGGGGAATGTTGACAAATGGCCTCAGGCTGCTGTAGGAGGGACATTTATCTCCCAGGGGACAGGGCCCCAAAAGGGTGTTGACAGCTCAGCAAACACTGAGCATTGGGCTCATTAACCCAGAGCCCACATGCTGACCATGCCTCCGCTGCCATCTGTTTCTCAGTCCCCCCGCCACCAGCCCTGATCCCCAGCTCACCCGGTCCAGGGGGAGCCGTAGCAGGTCCCAGGTCTCAGCGCTCAGCCTCTGTGTCCTCTTGGGTCTAGCCCCTGGAAGAGACCACAGCCCATCAGCCCAGTGCTGACCCAGAGCTCTGAGGCCACTAGCCAAGCAAGGGACCCAGGAGACCAAGGACGCAGCAGTACTACACCCAGAGTTTATAAATCCCCTCTTGTGCAGGGAAAATAGAGTGTCTGAGTGTCCACTGAGCCATCTAACTGGGCTGTGGGCACCAGACAAGGCAGGCAAGGCTTAAGGACAGATCTGACCCTGAGAAGGGCGCAGTAGAGATAGTTTTGGTGCCCCCGCCAAGGGATACTCTGCCAAGCCACGCCCTGTGCTTCCTACCGACTTAGCTGGTACCGTTCCTTCCTCCTGGAAGGCAGCCCGTGTATTCCATAGCATCCCCTCCATGAAGCCACACCGAATCTCCCTATCCTACCTCCTGTGCCCACATGGGGATGGGGCAAGGGGGAACCTCTGGGTCCCTGGCGCTCACTGTGGACCACCCAGGCTGGAGTAGCAGTGACGTGGCTCAGGGCAGTCCTGCTGCAGGGCACTCTGGACACTGAACAACTTGGGGTGGGCACAGCCTGGCAGATGGTTTGGACTAGGCTCTGGGTTTCCACAGGGGACGTGTCGCCAGCTCCCAAGTCCACAACCACAGTTGGGTGCGAAGGAGCAACTGCCTGAACTGCCTAGTGCTGCCACCAGCCCCAGGGGTCCCTGACCTTCATTTCTAAGTGGGGTGGGGAGCAACTTCACTTTGGTTCCCAGGCCCCCAGGTCCCTTCCCAGCACAGGAAGTGATGGGGAGGAGACTGGAGAAGCGAGCCTGGTTTGGGCAGCTGCCTTGACCACCTGCAAGGCCCAGGTCTTAGGAGAGCCAGCCAGGCAGACTGTCCACATAGCAGAGCCAGGTCAGCCAAGCCACAAAAGGACAATTCAGATGGAACCAAGACGTGAAGAGACAATACAAGGGGAACACAAGGAAGGGCCAGTATTGGGCCCGGCCCCTGAAGAGGTGGCCTCTGAGAGAGCCCTCCACTGTGATGCTGCACGGGTGGACCCAAGCTGTGGCAGACTACGCAGTCCTCTGAACCACAGCCTGCAGCTGGCTCAGGGAGGGCATCCTTCTTGTGCAGACCGGGTATGAGGCTCACTGGGCCCAGCTGAATGAATCCTCTGTCCAGAGTCAAAAAGGTCAGGTCCGGCCAGCGCTAATGGCCACGCCTCCTCAGCTGAGCCACCTCCACTGAGGCCTCAGACCCTAACCCCTCCTTCAGCTTCCTGTCCACCTCACCTACAGCACAAGGTCTAGAAACTTCTCCATTATGACTACCCACCCAAGGTGGACAGTCCCTGTCTTGCGAAGGCCCCTGACCTCTACGTCTCAGGGAAAGTCATCCAAACCTGTACGTGTTCCGTGTCCCAGCCCTCCCTACAATGGAAAGCACTCCATCCCCAGTCCATGGTAGCCGCTACTGGTAGTTTTACCTCCAACGATCTAGAAACTGGCCTTTTATTCCAGGGTGACCCATGGCAGTCCCTCACCTTGCCCTTCAGTCCTTTCTCCATGCCAGAACACAGTGAGCCCCTGGCTAGACCTTCTTCCCGTCTACTGGGTCTGCAGGTCCAGAAGGTCCTTCCCCACGGCCCCCAACAGCTGCAGACACATCTGCGCAGCAGACTCAATACTCTTGCCGTTTGCCTGGCTGTTACTCTCAGCACTACTAGCGGGCCTGCCTCCCAGATGGGGCACTGAAGCATAGACTATGGTAGACAGAGCCAAAGCTAGAGGCCACGGCCTACGCTGCCCCTCAGATGCCACACCAAGCATAAAGCATATCCTTGACCCAGAAGTGGAGAAGGGCCTCCAGTGCATTTCCCTCAGCGAGCTGCCCTGTGCTCATACCACAATACTGGGCCCAGAGGATGAGAAGGGCTACAGATCACCAAGAGCAGAGGGCTTCTACTATGTCACTGTGTACACGGGGTAGCCCAGGCCAGAGCCATCAAGCCTGGCAGGGATCAGGACTAGCTTCCCTTCTTCTTTGCATGCTCATCAGAAGGATACACGAAACTCTGCCTGCACGATCCCCACACCACTGCATTCCGGATGGCATGGACAATACAGCCAAGTATGCTATAAGGGTCTCAGACAGCTATACAACCCGAAGAACTGGGCACGGGAAGCAGCTGGCAGGGTAGTACCCCCACTGACTAGGACAGTCTGGGGCTGCTGCTGCTTCGCTGGCTGAGAAAGCACCACCAAGGGGAGATAAAGGGAGGGGGGCGTCTATTTTCTTGCACAGGAGTCCCTTGTTTACACTCATCAAGTCAGGAGAGAAAAACAGCCTTTTCCTGCCTCGAGCCCACTGGCCACCATCCCACCTACAATGTACACCATGCTCAAAATACACACTGCTCAGCTTAACACACACACACCAGTCACTGCCCAAAGCCCAAATGTATGTCTTCCCCCATTGCCCACTCAAACCACTCCACTTCTGCAAGCCCACAATGAGTGCCTTGTCCTACAGTCCCACAGGCCACACCCACATGTAAATACCACACCAGACTGAGTCTAACAACTAAAGGCCACGTCTCCCCTGGCTCTGACTTCCCTCCGGCCCTAGCAGAATGAATTCCCCAGGCCCGGGAGGCCACCTATCCCCAACCCTGCTGGGTCTGTGCCCTTTGGGGTGCCCACCTAGCCCCCTGAACCAGAACCATTGGGTATGCACTTGCCTAGCTCCTGGTCAGTTCACAGGAGGCAAGGACAGCCCTTCTCAAGTGTCTCAGCTGAGTCTAGCTCTCTCCTGGCTTCCTGACCCTGCTCATCCCTTGCTCACCTGAGTGGGGGTCTCCCTCAGGGCCACTCAGACTCTCACAGTGCCGGCCTGCCTTCAACAGCTGCATCCCAGGACTTCAGGGCACCAGATCCCTCTCCCTGATGTCTTCCTTGGAGGATAAACTCTTCCCCAGTGTCCAGGGCCCGGCCGTTGGCCGCAAGTAGCCCTGTGGGGAGGAGACTTCCGGGGGCCCCGGCTGGGAAGGGTCTGGTATGCAGGGCAGAGCAGAGGAGCCAATGTGGGGAGGACAGAGCTGCCTTGTCCCTGGCCATTCACTCGTGACCTGCCCCCCTTTCCCTTAGCTTAGAGGAGGAAGAAAGTCAGGACAAGGAGCTGACCGCCTCTGTGGGAATCCTTCCAGAAGCCGGCCAGCCCTGCTCAGGGTTCTTGGGCTGTGGGCTGTATTAGGAGCTCTATACAGAGCTATCTACCCTGCGAAAACGGGTATGGACCCACACCATCCCACCCCATTCGCCACTGCATCTCTTGCCACATGGAGTGGCTGAGGGTCCCAGAAGCCTTCGCTCCTCTCCTCTGTCCCCCAGCCTTATTTTCCAGGCCAGGTCATGCTGAAAAATTCCAGGTTTGAGGAACCGGGGCTCTCATGGCAGCAAGTATCCTTGCTTCTGGATGTCCTGAGAGGGAGGCTGGAGTCAGTGGGTGCCCCTGGGAAATCACCCATGAATAACTGGGGCTCCACTCCCAGCAAACTCAAGGAACATGGGGCAGCTGGCTCCGTGCTGGGGCTTGCCCCCCCCCCCAAAGCCTATGAGCCTCCAGACGCCAACTCAGCATCGCACCCTGCATCCACCCTGCCCTCCTCTGTACGTGTTAACGCATTTGCTCTGTAGGGAACATACTGTCCTTCCATTCACTACGTGTCTGACCTGTGTGGGACAATCACCAGCTTGAATGAGGTCACTGGAGTGGCTTTGCCTGATTAGTACTCCAGGCAGGCACAGACTGGCTCCCTCCAGCCTCCCAGAAACCCCTCCTACAGAGCAGGGTGATGGACACTCTGGCTGCTTGAGGAGGAGCCATTTCCTGTCTTCTTGCCATCAGCCCTGTGGTGCCACCAGGGTCAGGGAGGGAGGGGCTCTAGGTGACCACAGGTCCTCACTGTCTCAAGGACAGTGCAGAACTGACCACACTCCCTCTGCCATTGGTGTTCCTGGCTACTGACTATCATTTCCGCCCCACATCTTTCAGTTGCCCCTTGTGATGGTTTGAATGGGAATAGCCCTCATAGCTCATGTTTGAATGCTTGGTCCCTAGTAGTGAAACTGTTTAGGAAGGATTAAGAGGCGTGGCCTTGTTGGAGGAGATGTGTCACTTGGAGTGGGCTTTGAGATTTCAAAAGCCCATGCCAGCTGGGCGGTGGTGGTGCACATCTTTAATCCCTGCACTTGGGAGTCAGAAACAGGCAGATCTCTGTGAGTTCAAGGCCAGCCTGGTCTCCACAGCGAGTTCCAGGACAACCAATGTCTCACAGAGAAACACTGTCTTGAAAAACCAGAGAGAGAGAGAGAGAGAGAGAGAGAGAGAGAGAGAGAGAGAGAGAGACAGAGAGACAGAGAGAGACAGAGAGACAGAGAGACAGAGACAGAGACAGAGACAGAGAGAGACAGAAAGACAGACATACAGAGAACTTCAAAAGCCCATGCCAAGTCCATTTTCTCTCTCTGCCTGCAACCTTTGGATCAGGTGTGCACCTTAGGTGCCTCCCCATCACCATACCTGCCTGCCTGCTACCATACTCCCTACCATGGTGGACTAAGCCTCTGAAAACATAAGCAAGCTCCCAGTTAGATGATTTTTTCCATAAGCGTTGCCTTGGTCATGGTGTCTCTTCACAGCAATAGAAGAGTAACAACTAAAATACCCCTGAGCCCTGATTTGCCCCAGTGGGGTCCATTTGTGCCCCAGAACTCTGGACACCCTGTCTCTCCCCACAACACAGTGCAACACAGTTCTGTGTCCACCTCTCTCTTCTACCACTGTGAGCCCCCCTGGGCAGTGGGCAGTGGTCTCCCCTAGGCCCAGAACAACGGTGGGAAGAGTGGGTGCTCAGATGAGGTATAGCCTCTTCCTTTACTGAGCAGCTGCTAGTGCCTCCCTTTCTGGCAGACCTACCCTGTGCCCCGAACCAGGGGTCAGTCCTGTTGATCTAATCCTGTCTTTTCCCCTGAGTTTCTCTCTTGCCACACCCCTGCCCGGATGCTGCTCTGACAGTACCTCAGGCTGAGCCAGAGACCATGAGGAAGCAGACCCCAGCCCTCAGAACCGGAACTCACCTTGCGCCTCATAGCCAGCCAGATCTGGCTTCTCTGCCGCTGCTGGGCTAGTCAGCCGGCCCAGTGCCAGCTGCAGCTGGGCAATATTCATGCGGGCTGTGAGCTCTCCGTTTCGGTCTCCGATCTGAAGCAAGCAGGGGTGAGTAGATGGGCAGGTGAGGCCTGGGACTGTGCTCTCATAGTGTTGGAGGTAGGGCTCCAGCACACCATCCTTGGCCTGCTGGACAGCCTGAGCTGACCTCAGAACTTGGGATTTCTCAAAGAGCCAGTCCCCACTATCAGAAGTTGATTCTGAGGGTCCATCCTAGATGTTCTGGATGGCCTCTAGTCCACCCCAGAAGTGCTCAGGGTCTTGGGAGACATCCTATGATTTGTCAGCTTGTCCTTGTCCTGGACTATACCTGTCTCAACCCTAGAGGCCAGTCTTCTCTTAGGCCCCACCAGCCTCAGGTGCACCAGTGGGACCCTCTTGAGTACAAGCCCAACGTGGGGACACAGGGAGCCACAAAGCTCAGAAGTCTCCAGAGAAGTCTCCAGAGACCTCTGCTTGCACTCATCAGGATGTGGAACTGGTCACCCTGTGGAGGGATCTCCAGACAGGCTCTCTTCTGCTCTGGACCATCCTATCCCACCTGAACCTGGGCGCCCATGAAGCTCCTTGTGACTTAAGGCCTTAGTTAGGGAGGGCAGGTTTCTTGGGATGTCTCTGCACTGTCCACAGTAGGAGGGGACTGAACAAAGAGGAGGGAGACTCGGCTACCTAGGGAGTTCCTGGACACTAGAACCTCTGTCTTCCTGGTCCACCTCCAAGAGGTTACTCCCAGCAGCCCTATAATCCAACATGGCCCAATTCTATCAGGGCCTGGAGGATGGAATCCACACAGGGAAAACAGATCCTTGCTTCCCCATAGACCCACTGACCCCTGTACACACGAGTGGGAATTGTTCTCTCGGGGACTCAGTGTTCAGAAAGGCCAATGGGAGCAGCCCAAGAAGAAGATGACAGGCTGCTGAAGCACCAGCAGAGGCCTAGGGGAGTGGGCCCGGCTCACCTCCTGGGAGATCTGCAGGTGTTTCTTGGCAAAAGTCAAGGCCTGTGCGGGGCTCCCCATGGACACGTAGGCATTCCCCAGGCTCCAGCACGCCCGGCCCTCTCCCACCCTGTGGAAGGTTAGACAATCACACCTGCCTCCCAGGACTGCCGGTTGCCCCAAGTCACTGACCCTCTCCCAACCCTGGTACACAAGGTACTGACAACGCTGTGAGTCCTCCACCACCGAAGGGGCCCACTGGCCCTGGCCACACTGGGTGAACTGACTGTTCACCCCCTTTAGGGAGAAGCGCCAACCACCGGCAGTTTTATTCTTCCTTGTTGAAAGAATTAACTTGATAAACTTGAGTTTGTGGCCAGCTTACCCTGGGGCCAGTTGTGGCCTCCATACGCCCCTCAGGGCTCAGCCCTTAGGTTCTTTTCCTCAAAGCCTGGCTCGCCCCCTAGTGGCCAGCAAGATAATATTCCCTGCAGCTTGCTCTACACTGGCTCACCCAGGTCCAAGTGAGCCATGAATCATTCATTTTATGAGACATTTTAGCTGTTCCCATTGCTGTACGGCTACTATCTCTATCTAGTTGCAGAAAACGTCCATTATCTGCCCCTCCCTGGAGCAGAAAGTCCCAGGGGATAAGGGTAGGTCTTGGAGAATACCCCCCACTATACCTGCCCCTAGGTCTATGGTTCTGAGATCCTGCCTGCTATTGCAGATCTGCATGGAAGGCTATTCCAGAGTTGGAGGCCATGAGATTGATGTTGCCATGGGGAGAGGGATGCAGACCTGAGTGATGGAAAAGCCTTCCTCCACCCCAGGTCCTGCTAAGGGCCTCTTCAAGCCTTGCACCTACCTATTTGCTTAAATTGTTTCCCACTGAGGGAAGGGCTGAGAGCCTTGGTGGGAGGCTGCTCTGACCATGCTGCGGTCAGCAGGGGACAGGGACCCATACCCACTGGAGCCAGTCCCACCAAGGCCTTGCTCCCACACACCTATCAGCCAGCTCTTGGGCAATGACCAGGTGCCGCAGGTGGTACTCAGCAGCACGCTCGTAGTCCTGCAGCAGCGTGTAGGTGTTGCCCAAGCTGTAGCAGGCCTGCGCTTCCACTGCCTGGTCCCTGAGCTGCCGAGACAGCTGCAGCGTCTTCCTGTGCAGAATGAGAGAGTCGTCCCTAAGTGGGTGGCAGTGCCCCCTTTCCTTCTCAGGAACACAATTCTTCAGGTGGCCACAGCATTTCATTCACAGCACCAGATGCACGGGCTCCCATTGGCTAAGGAACTGGTAGGCCACTAACCACGCTGAGCTGATGACACTTTACAGGGGATCCAAGACCGAGTGTCCACAGCTCAGAACCATGAGACGAGCATGGAGGCCCCACACGGGCCCAATCCTGGAGTCTCAGTTCCATCTATTGGCCACCACTCTACCGAGGAAGCAGCTGCCTAAGAACTTCAGCACAGGTCGGGGACACCCATGAGCGTCATGCATTGGCCTTTTTCAGGGTAGCCAGGGCCCCCAACTGGCTCTTGAGAATGCTAAGTGATCAGTGCCCGCCCCCGACAACATGGGAGGGGCATCTCTGCAGCCTGGTGTTCAGTGCACCCCAAGACTGCCCTCTGGGATGGGCATTTCTGTGTGGCCCATCATCCACTGCACCCGGGGCTTACTTGTAGTGTTCGGCAGCCACATCAAAGCGCCCCAAGAAGATGTGGGCATTGCCCAAGTTGCTGTAGGCCCTCCTCTCGGCTGCCTTGTCTCCAAACTCCTTGGCGATGGCCAGGCGCTGCAGACAGACCCAAGCCCAGAGATGATCACCTAGTCCTGAAACCCTAGACACACTGCCAGGGATGCCTCCCTGATAGGGTGCTGATTTGATCTGAGTGTCCAGGGAAGCAGATGGGAACCCCAGGACCAAATACAGCAGGAGCTGGGGGATCAGTGGGGTTCTGCAGCTTCCCTGCTGTTGAGGACAATGAGGTGTCCCTCAGGTTTCCTGTTGCAGCATCCCTGCCCCAGCACCCAGGCCCAGCTCACCTCTTTGTGGAAGGTTGTGGCCTCGTTGAAGTTTCCCAGAAGGTAGTGGGTGTTACCCAGGTTGCCATAGGCCCTGCCCTGGGCCGCCCGATCGCCTAGTTCCTTCACCAGGGACAGGTTCCTCCTAGGGGGACCAAGTCTGTCTGAGCTGTGTCCTCGCCAGCACCAGGAAAGTGGCTTACATCTCCTCCCCCTGAGGCTAGAAAGTAGTAAGTAGTTCTCCCAGGATACAGGGTGGCTCGGAATGGGTTCTTTGGCTCTGATGACATCTGAGCTTCAGGGCTGGAGGTCTGATCAAAACCTACCAGTCCCTGATAAGTATGTGGGAGGGGAAGGGTGGCCATAAAGCACTAGGGCTGGATACATGTGGGGATGTTTTGTGTCTGGGATCCTGCCCAGTCCCTTGCCTGGCACACATTGGCTTAAGAAGTGTCTGTGGAATGCAGGGGCATCCAGATGAGCCCCGGCCCCATCAGTCCTCACCCTGTGGCACCGGTCCACCCCACTCACTCACTCATAGAACTCAGAGGCCCTGTGGAGTGTCTCACGGACATCAGGTGGCAGGTGCCCAGGGTCCTGTGCAGCATTCCAGGACAGCTGCTTGCCCTTGGCGTGGTACACATTTCCAATGTTGTAGAGTGCTCTCGCCTCCCCAACCTGTGGGCAGCAGTGAGGTATAAGAGCATGCTCTACAGGCCCCTAGGGAACTCATCCCAAGGTGCACTTGCAGGGGCTGGGTAGTCCTCTGGCCTGCTGGGTCCCTGAGAAGGACAAACCCAGTTCTGTCCCCCACCCCTTCTATCCTCTGCCAGGCCCACTGTTCTGTCGGCTAATGTCTGAGGTTAAGAGCCTTGGCAGGAACGGGAAGAGCAGAGGATCCAAGGGGCCAACCACCCACCTTGTCCCCCTGCTCCTGGGCAATGTCCAAGTGTCGCTGGCAGCAGACGATGGCCTCATCGAACCGGCCTAGGACCTTGAGTGTGTTGCCCAGGTTCCCACTGGCCTTGGCCTCCCCCATGCGGTCGCCGATGGTCCTAGAGGGCAGGGAAGGAGTGAGGAGCTGGGTGTGAGTCTAACTGGGCCCTGAGCTGAGCAAGGGCCAAAAGAGCCTTGGAGGAGAAGGTCTGGCAGTGGAGAGGGAGCTCTTCACACTCACTGGCGAACCCTTGTTCAGACCACTGGCACCAGATCTGGACTGAGTGTTGAGGATGGGATGGCGGGGGGAGGCTCCCTGGTGAGCAGGGTTACCAGTATGGGCAGGGCTGGGAGGATTCTGCCCCCTATCTAGGAAGTCAGGGTGGCTTTGAGGCCTCAAAAAGGAGCTGGGTTGAATGTGGAACAAGGGAAGGCCCTGTAGGACAGAGTGGGAACCAAGAGTCAGAGGTTGGATAAGACTGGGGACACTGGGGTGGAAACTCAGGGATGGTGGGAAATTTGAGAAGGGTGTGTTTAGGAGGGAGATTATAATCCTTTAAGGAGCCAGCAGTGGCGCACGCCTTTAATCCCAGCACTCGGGAGGCAGAGCCAGGCGGATCTCTGTGAGTTGGAGGCGAGGCCAGCCTGGCCTACAGAGCGAGATCCAGGACAGGCACCAAAACTATACAGAGAAGCCTTGTCTCGAAAAACCAAATAAATAAATAAATAAAAATAAAAACCTTTAAGGGGTTAGAGTTCACAGGGAGAACAGGAAGCCCCTGGGGACAAGACCACTCCTAACAAAGATGGCAAGGAGTAAGCCTGAAGCCAAGACCACAGAAAAGGAACACCTATGGGTGGTAGAGACATGGTCTCAGGGAGAAAGAAGCACAGCAGGCACAGGAGGACAGACAGACACATAGACAGACACATGTTCACACACACACACACACACACACGCACGCACGCACGCGCGCGCACACACACACACACACACACGCACACCTTGACTTGAACACAGATCTTTAAGGGGTCCCCAGATACCCCTCCCAGGCCAGGGCTACCTGCGGGGCTCTCCAGGCTCTGAGACATCAGCACCTTTCAAACTCCCCAAGGGCAGGGCACCAGGCTCGTGCCATCAGGCCACAATTCACCATACTTACCGTGCCAGCAGTAGGTCATGTTTGTGGAACTGCAGGGCCCGGGCATACTCCTTCAGATAGAAGTAGGCATTGCCCAGCTGGCTATAGATGGCACTCAGCGTCTTCAGGTCCTCGGTGCCCACCTGCACAGCAGCCTCAAAGAAGGCCACGCCTGCCTTGAAGTCCCCCGCCTTGCACAGCCGCTCACCTTCCAGTGCCAGCTCCAGACAGGAGGCCTCCATCCTGGGTAGAGAAGGGGTATCATGGCCTGTCCCTTGGGACCCTCTGTGGTCACAACAGAGACAGTGTTCTGCAGCAGCTGCTGCCCACATCACAGCCTTGTTCACAGATATGCCTGCTGGGGATTCATGCCTCAGAGCAGATGCTGGACCCAACAGTGCCCCAGCTGTTCAGCTCTCCTTTGCCCCTATCCATTTTTTTTTTAGACCAGGCTGGCCTCGAACTCACAGATCCACCTGCCTCTGCCTCCTGAGTGCTGGGATTAAAGGCGTGGGCCACTACCACCTGGCTTCACTTTACTCTCCACTGTTTGGGTCAGATTCTCTCTATGTGGTCCTGGCCCAAGCAATTCTCTTGCTTCGGCCTTCCCAGAAACTAGAATAAGAGACATGTTGTGTTGTGGGCCCAGTTCTAAATAATTTTTTGTTGTTGTTTTTTTGAGACAAGGTTTCTCTGTGTAACAGTCCTAGCTGTCCTGGATCTCACTCTGTAGACCAGGCTGGCCTCGAACTCACAGAGATCTTCCTGCCTCTGCCTCCCAAGCGCTGGGATTAAAGGTGTGCGCCATCACTGCCAAGCCTGATTGAATAACTTTAAAGTCAATATCAAGCGCCTTGTCGCCTAAGATGCTGGCTCCTCCTGTGTGTCCTGAGGATCCGTCAACAATCCAGAGCTCTGCAGGGAAGCCGTGGAAAATCAAGGACAGAGCTGCTAAGCATTTGAACCAAAGGTTCTTTGACACAAATCGCAAAGCCACACCCACTGTATTGTGTTATCAAGGAAATGGGGCATTTTGAACTTTCCCAGGATAACAGTGCCACGTGAATAGATGGTGGAGTCAACGGACCCGAGAAGCTGGCACACACATCTGCATCCCCGGGCTTAGAGTGCTGTAAGTCCTCCCTGTGCCCACATGCCAACACCCCAGGAACCAAGCTATGCTGTCAAGTCCCTTTGGTACCCCAAAGCCCACAGCACTCACAACTCCTTTTCTGTAGTACAGCCACCACTTGCAAGGTCCCTGAATTTCTAGAAGTCAACCACTGGCTGCCCTGCCCTTCACTTCTGACATCATAAGATTGGGTACCAGGTGCCTCCACTCTCCCCAGGGAGTGAGAACATGAATTCTCAAGAGACATGCTCCTGCCTCTCAGGCTTCCGGTAACTGCCATCCTGCTCTAGTCTGGGCTTTTCTTGCTGGGGCATCTCTGGCTATCACCCAGTCAACTCACCACACACCCATGCTGTGCCAGCTAGGACCCTGCTTCAGTGTGGGTGCCACCCTCTGGGTCTGTCATAGGAAGGCTTTGGAGTCCTGCCCCTTCTAGACTGTGTGTCCAGACATTTCTCACCAGGGCTGAGGCCCAGGCATGGCATTTGAAGGGGCCTCAGTTTGATGCCGTTAAATAGTGACATAATCAGAAAGGGGTATGCAGGACTTTACACACACACTTGGCATCAGGGAGACTGGGCTTCTTGCTGGACCCCCACTTCTCTCAGGGGTCAGAGAAAGGCATGTGACCTTAAGACCAGGAAGCCAGGCCCTTGGGCTACCCACCTACCCTGTTATGCCAGGGACTCCCATCTATACCTGCTGGACTCCCTGTCGGCCACCTTACCAATCCCTCTGGGAAAGGCCATCAGATGCCACGTTGGCCACAAGAGCCATGGTTACTGTGGCAACCAGCCACAAGACATCTTCTCTCCTGTGGCCAGTGCCAAGTTCTGGCTTCTTAATTAAGGCCTATCTGTCCCTGCCCCATGGTTCTGAGCAGCCAGATATGGCTCAGTTCTGCTGGCCTTCTAGAGGACTGCACAGGAGTGTCTGTCACTGGGGAGTACTACTGATTAGGGGGAACTGCCATTACACCCTGTCACCCTTCTAGCTCAGTGATTTGGCACCCAGAAAGCAAAGGTTTGGGAGAGGTCTGGGGCAGAAGCCCTGGAGAGCATGCCAGAAGGGGCATCAGAGGGGGAATTAACTTGGGCCATAACACAAAGAGCCCCTCCCCACAAGACACCCCTGAATCATGCCAAACATCCCCCTCTGACTCCTGTCACTTGCCCAACTAGCACCTTTTTCTCTGCAGGTTCCTGTCCCTCCCCGACTCTAAGACACTCCCAAATCATGCCTGGACCCACTCAGGCACCCAGCCTTGAAGCCTGGCGCCTGCCTGGTCCCCACCTCTTTCTCTGTAGGTTGCGCATCTTCTGCACATACAGCCACAGCTCCAGACCCACAGGCAGCAGCAATGGGCGGGGGCGAGGGGCACCATAGACCACCTTGCACACAGCCTTCTCTGCTAAGCTCAGGGCCAGGGGCTGGCCCTCCATGGTTGTAGCCTGCATCACAGCTCTGGCCATGGTCCCAGGGGATGTGCCAATCTCAGGCTCCACGGCCCCAAGCTCTTCAACAGCATCTCCCTCTTTCCCCGGGTATGACGTGGATCAAAGGATCAAGGGCAGCTCAGTCTGGATGGATGAGCACTTATGGCAGAGGGGGTGGGGTGGGAAGCCTGAGGTAATCCTCTGCTGCCCTTCTGTCCTCCTTGGGGGCTGGGCAGGGAGCATGGAACCAATCCTTTGGCAAACTTTTATGCAGGTCAGACCCAGGACCCAGGGACTTCAGGAGTATTAAGACTGCACATCGCAGCCGCTGGCCACGTTAGCGGTGAGAGGATAGGTATAGTGCATGAGAATCCCCCAATCTAGCTCTGCTCCCCACCTGGTGCTGACCGAGGCTGGCAGAAAGTCAGAGTCTCCTGCCTGGAATGCCGGCTAGGAGAGCCTGTCCCACGGCTGGGCAAAGCTAGGACTCTGGACAAGGTTGGTACTTGGAGTCTTCACGCTCTCCAGCCCCTGGTGTTTGCTTTGCCCTGGATCCTGGCCTGGGACGTGGAGTCCTCTTCACCCTGCAGGACTCTTCCTGACTGCTGTTACACTCGCCCAACTCTTCAAGGTAAGTTCCAGACTCAGGGTCTCACCAGGGTATAGAGCCACACAAGGTCTGCAGAGGCTGTTCCAGGGAAGCTGGGATTTTCCTCTAACTTCTAATTTCCCAAACACCTTCTCAGCCCTACCAGGGCAAAGGGAGGGACCCCAAGAATGAAGGGGAGTTACCAACATCCACAGAGGACATTAGCCCACAGGATCAGGGCCCAATCCAGTGCCCGAGGGCAGTGTACTGGTAGCCTCTCATAGGCCTTTCCCTAGACTACGGCCCCATTTTGGCCCCATCCCAGTGATGACAGGACCATTCCTGGAAGCCCTCCAGCCAAGCTACATGCCTTTTGGCTGTGGAACCCAGAGACGAGAATGAGGGGATGCAGCTGCAGTCACAGGAGACTGGACAGCAGGGGTAGTACTCTCCCCGAGACGACTTTGGGCTCTTAGCAGAGACAGAAACTCCAGAGTGGGTGGAGAAGGCTGCCAGGCCCTGGATAACTCAGTTCAGGGGTTCCACTTCTGGAACACCTTGGCCAAGAGTATCAGGGCAAGCCTGGAACTCCCGAGGGGGGCTCTCTTGGGCCTCCCGGCCTCCCCACTGACATGCCTGCTCTGCTTTCAACCCCCTCCTGCCCTCTTGGGGCCAGCCAGTCTGACGTGGCTGAGCAGAGAAGTTCCTGGAACCTCTGCGCTCCCATATCACCTCTGCAGGCCTACAAGGTACTGCTCATCTGTCACTTGTCAAGGTGTTCATATACCCAGGGAGCTGCAGCCATTTGAACAAACAAATGCTGGGTTATCTGAGGCCTCTGAAAGACCTGTCCACTCCAAGGGTCCCTTGAAATCCTACCCTCAAGGCTCCAGATCACAGTTATCTAGGGTTTGGAGCTTAGTGTCTCCCACTGACCACACCATCCCACCAAAATTTATCATCTGGCTAGACGGACCTATTGCTGAACAGGTAAACAGCAATCCTTCCCCTCACCAAAGAGGATGGCGCTGCCTACCCCAACCGACCCACCTCCACACTGAGGTCCTGACCCCAAGCCATGCCACCCATTGAGCCACTTTAAAAGGCTCACAGCCCTGTGCTGCTCCAGATGTCAAGAACAGTAGATCACAGCAGCCAGGAACCAAGCACTGTCTGCCATACCCCAGCCACTGCAGCAGTAACTGACTCCCTAGTGGCCAGCCACATTCTGCTCATGTCCCTCTGGCCTCCTGATCTCACCTGCCTGTCCCCTTACGACTCCTGGTGTTGTCTGGTACCCACAACCAGCTGGCTCCTTAGCACCCCAGTTCTAGCTACCTGAATTTTTGCCTGCCTCCTTCACTGAAGAGCAGTCACCTGGCACTGGTCCCTGGCCAAAGGCTTGAGAGACCCTTGCTCACAGCTGTCCCAGCTTTCCCATTCAGCATCTCTGAGAAGGAAGTCCCACTGACATTCCCTCAACAGCCAGGAGAGGAAGGAGAGAGAAAGAAGTGGGAAGGCTGGGAGGGAGCATGGCGGGAACAGGAAACTGCTGTGGGCAGGGGTACCTCAGCTTCAGGAAGGTACCTAAGGATCAGGCTTGCAGGGATGTCTGGGGCTAAGATGGGGACTGGGCCTGTCTGGGACAGTGCCAAGGGAAAATCACAGATAGAGGTGGTAGAGTGGGAACCAGCACTGCTCGGCCATGCAGCCACAGAGGCCTTGCCCATGCCAAGGGATGCCATGCCCAGGCACCAGGGGCCTTTACCACAGGTGCAGCTTTTAGAAGGCCACCCCAGTGTGTGCTCCCCCGCCACCCCTCCCTTCCCAGCCTCACTCAGCACTTCGCTCCTTGCCTCCTGGGGCTGCGAGGCCAGAAGAGGATGTGCAGGGACTTCCTGGCTACGTCTTCATCTCTCTGGGACCCTCTACCCCAAGCCCCTGTTCTGGCCCCAGTGTCAGTGGACCAGAATTCTCAACAGAGAGCCTCCCCACTTTACCCCCACCCCACCTCCAGTGTCCAGTCCCTCTCTACACTCCACGAGGAGGTGGTAGTTCAGGGACACATTTGTGGCTTTTCTCAAATCCTCAGTCCCATTTTATTTTATTTTATTTTTTGGTTTTTTGAGACAAGGTTTCTCTGTGTAGTTTTGGTGCCTGTCCTGGATCTCGCTCTGTAGACCAGGCTGGCCTCGAACTCACAGAGATCCACCTGGCTCTACCTCCCGAGTGCTGGGATTAAAGGCGCTCGCCACCGCCGCCCGGCCTCAGTCCCATTTTGTAAGTATCAAACCCTCTCAGTCAGTGAGAGTGGGGATGCTCCTGGGAGGGTGGATGGTGCAGAGAATGTCTCCCAGCCAGACATCCTGTATCAGCCCAGAAAGGCCACAGGAGTTCTTAGATCAGGTGGACCCAGTTCACCTAGGCACCTATGTACCTGAGTAGCCATGCCAGCATGCAAGCTTCCCTGGACACCCTGGGGTTCATGTGGGGTCAGGACATGCTTGGATCTTCCTTCTTAGTTCCAGAGGCCACAGGTTGCTGGGCCTGGCGGTAGCGACTTTCCTTCCCTGACCCCTCTCTAATACCTGCTTCAAAATGCTTCCGGTGCTTCCCATCTGCCCAGCCTATCTAAGCCCGAGACTGGCTGTCCAGGCCTGGCTGTGATCCCTAGGTGGGGACCAAATAGCTCACGGGCCTCCTGGAAGGCCCTGTGGGGAGGCTCTTGGCTGCTCAGCTTAAATCTGGTCCCAGCTCAACCCTCTCAGCTCAGCTTGGGTTTCAGCTTGGAGGGATGCCAGGCTGAGCTCAGGGCCTCAACCAGTATCCTGAAAACTGTCCCTAACCAGCGAGAGCTACCCAGGGCCTGAATTCGGCCCTAGTGAATCACCACCAGGGAGAAGTGGGGGCAACAGACACAGCTTGGAGACCTGTGTTCTCAATATTCTCCCTCCCCGCCCTCCCCTCACACACAAGCGGCCTGATAGACACCTCCTTCTCACAGGTGGCAGGTCCTGAGGTAAATGTGACCCTGCACAGCTTCCACTCTCAGGGGACTCTAGGAAGAAGCTGCCAGCAAACCTCTTACCCCTGCACCATAACCAGGAGGCAGAGTACAGGGCTCAGGCTTGATCTTCAACACCACACAATGGGGACACTGTCTCTGAGCTGCAGCAGAGTAGAAGGGGGCGGGGGAAGTTCTCTTCTCCCCAGCCACCAAGCCTTCATTTTGATCTTTGGAGGTACTGGGCAGAGCTTGGCTGGCTGATGAGCCACCTCACTTGGGGCAGATTACTTCAGGGTTGGCCCCTAGCAGGATCAGAAGAGGTGGGAATCAGAAGCTCACAGCAGGGAGCTGGGCCTTCCCCTAGGGCTGGTGACGGTGTGCAGACCCTGCCCAGCACTCAGGCCCTTCAAGCTCAGCATGAGGCCAGAGTGAACTGGCGGTACCCGGTCCACTTCTGAAACCAGCACCTCGTGGGGAACACCCTCATCAGGCCGGAGTCACCAGGGAGGCATGCGGCCAGAAGCAGGGCTAGCCTGTCCTACCCAGTGGGCGTGGGCACAGAGCACAGACCGCTGGCTCACCTGTGAACCTACCTGGAAGGCAAGCGCCTTTGTAAGGATGCTCACACCCACCTGCCTGGCCCAGGCCCAGGTTCTGCTGGCCTGGGGCTGGGGATAGCTAGTGAGGGCAGGGCCCCATCATGTCAGGCTGGGTCGTGGCCATGTCACCCCTGTACCGGGTCACGGCAGTCTCAGGCTTGAGAGGCGAACTCCTGGCAACGAACCCTGCCATCCCTGGCTATTCAGGGGCCCACAGAGCTCGGTGGAGGACTGCCCCCCTCGTAAGCCCCTCAGGCATCGGGACGGGGCTGCAGGCAGAACCCAGCCCCCAGCCCCTCTGCCACGGGGCCGATCTTTGGGCCCCGAGTCCCCACCGCTCCCCGCGCAGAGCTAGGGAGGCGCGTCCGCGGCCACGTTGCGCGCCACCGCTGCAGCCTTTGTTCTGGGCCGGCAGCCTCCCGCCCGCGCCAGCCGCTCGGGTCCCCGTCCCCATCCCGGTCTTCGAACTACCTGGAGTAGAGGCGCCTGGCGGCCGGGCCCGGGAGCTCGTCGGCCGCGGGCGGGGCTGGGCTCGCCATGAGTCGGGGACGCGCCGAGCAGGAGCACCGCCCCGCGCTGCGGCCGTCCGCCCGCCGATCTGCCCGCCTGTCCGCGCGTCCGTCCGCCTGTCCGCGCGTCCGCGCGAGGCGCCGAGGAAGTGATGTGCTGGGGTGCCACCGCCCCTCCCGCCCGAGCCGTGATGTCACCGCCGCCAGGAGGAGGGAGGGTGGGGAGGGGCAGGCGCCCACCGGCCACCACTGCAGCGGTCCCGCCTTCCGCGGGGTGGGCGGGGCCCTGTCTTGGAGGTCCAGTGCAGGGAGCATCCTAGTCTTAGTCAGGGCAATGCTGGGTGCTCTTTTTTTGCCGGAAGACCTGCTAAGACCCTGGGGTGCCTTTATGCTATTCCCACCCCCCTTTCTTACACACACACACACACACACACACACACACACACACACACACACACACACACACACACATCCCAAGACCCTGCACTCTGGCCTGAGGTGTTGAAACCTCTTTGCCTTTGCTGTCACACACACACACACACACACACACACACACACACACACACACACACACACACCCTGTTCCTTTCCTGCCACTTCTTGTGGGGTACAGGTCATGCAGATGCACCCAAGGCTAAGGAGAATACAGGTTTTCCTGGCTTGGGGGAGGGGGATTTGTGGGGCCCTGGGCAAGTCTCTACCTTCCTAGGGCTTTCACCACCGGACTTCATGTTGTCAGTACCTGTGAATGCAACTGTTTGGAAAGCATACTGGTAGAGCACCAGGGGCCCACTTGGGAGCCTGGTCCTCATTCATCTGCCTGTCCTCTCCCTCTGAATTCCCCAGGGCCCTGAGGATCTGGACGTCTTAGTCCACGCTTGAGTAGCCTTGGAGCCTTCACCCTAGCCACAGGGCACCATCTGGACACACCAGAGGCCTCACTCAGGACAGCCTGTCCAACTGGGACTCATCTAGCTCTCTGCTCCCCTCTCCAGCCCAGTCACAATATTCTTGGAAAAGTAGCTGTGACCCTCAGTGGTACAGGGGTGAGTCAGGGTGCAGAAAATGGCTATGTCCGCTGCAGTTTCATTTCATCCCTGGCCCCAGGCCTGAAGATGGACACCATGCCAAGGTCACCCTAGACAGACCCTGCAGACGCAGCCCACAGTACAGTGGCTCCAGGCAAAGAAAAATGGCAACAAAAACAAACACGAGATAAAACGGGTCTGTTGGCTCTGAGCTAGTTTGTTTTCCTAGGACAGAACCGGTGCGAGCAATGAGAACCATCTGTGCCTGGGGCGAGGAGGCTCAGGCTTGCTGCTGTCCCCACGCCTCCCCCTAAGACCACAGGAGCCAGGCCTTGCTCTCACTTGGCTAAGGCAGGGTGTGTGTTGTGGCTGGCCAGGCACCACCCACGTTCACCAAAGTCTCCAGCTTGGTCCCTCGCAGACAGAGAGGGCTCTGGACTGCAAGCACTTCCTGGTTGTTCGCAAAGAGCACCCTATGCAAGTGGGGCTGCTGTGAACCACTCGGCATCAGGCTGGGCTCATCTCTCCTGCTCCTGGCTTTAGGAAACCCTTAGAGACATGTTGCAGCCATCAAGCCCCTGTGGGTCCCTAACCAGGAAGCCCCACACATAGTGTTACAGGGTTCTGGAGTTGAGGGGATGTGTGAGCCACAACATTCCCACCGGGGACCAATTTCCATCTTCCTTGAGGCAGGAGTTGGGGTGGGGGTGGGGGCACAGATTGTGAGGGCTCAAATTTGCAGGGGTGCTCTGAAGCAAGCTGGCTGAGGATTCAGGCTCTGTGTTAGAAAGACCTGAACTCGAAGGCTACCTCTGTCCCTACTGACCAGGAACAAGCTGCTTTCTCTAAGTTTCAGTTCTGTTACCTGCAAAGGGACCTGTCCCAGCCTGTGGAGTGCTTACGGTATACAGTGCACACTGCTGATATCAGAAGACCATTACAGATGTCCTGGATTTGGGGAACCCCTGCAGACACCCCGGCACACACTCCACCACACAGGCAGGGCAGCTTCTCCGTCAGCAGCCTTTTCAGGTGGAATGTGATAAGGGTAGGCATGAGGCAATAGGTCCAACATAGGAGACACTTGTGGACGAGAGCAAGATGGGCCCAGGGGAAGAGAGACCCTCGGGCCTGTCTCCTGCTGGCTGAGTACCCCATCCCATATCCGTTCAGTCTGAAAAAGAGCGCCTGCCTCTCACCCCTCCCCCGCCCCAGCTCCCCTGCCTGTGCACAGCTAGGGGCCTGGTTACCTCCCCCTGTAAAGTCTCTGGAGCAGCTGAATGGAGAATCCTGCTTCATCCCTAATGGTTGGATTTCCTCCCCCATGGAACATCTGTGGGAAGAAAATGATTTCCCATATGGGCATAACCAATAGCTATCCTACTGATGCTGGGCAAGGGTGGATGATGGGTGACTTCATCATCACACCATGTCAGGTGAGAGCCAAGGGGTTCGTGTCAGCTCCAGTCATCTTCACACTACATCACCAGATGACTTCCTGTGGTCACCTGCATGTGTCTGCTGTGGTCACCTGACGGCCTGTGACATGCACAAGGTGGCAGTAGTGACTCATTCCAGGTCATCTGCCTGGGCTGTGGCAAAGCTTGGGTTTCTCAGGCCTAAACTTCACCTTGTCCTGGGCCTGTCACCCTGGATCAGGAATGGATCTGAATACCCCTGTGATGGGTGTCTAGACCCCGCCTTCCACCTGCTGCTTCCTCAGGCCCCTCCCTCAGCAGAGCTCTTTCTGCAGAACCTTAAGGGGGCTTCGGCCATCCCAGAGGCCATTGGCTGTGGTACCAAGTCCAAGTCTCACCGAGGACAATGGCACCCAGACAGCCTCTACCAAGTCTTCCAAACTAATGTGTGAGCGAGAGACAGGAAGGCAGAGGGAAGTAGAAAGAAGACATATCAGGGTGGGAAGAGGGAGAGAGCCAGACTCACCTGTAAGAAACTGTACTCAGGGCCGGGCGGTGGTGGCGCATGCCTTTAATCCTAGCACTTGGGAGGCAGAGCCAGGTGGATCTTTGTGAGTTCGAGGCCAGCCTGGGCTACCGAGTGAGTTTCAGGAAAGGCGCAAAGCTACATAGAGAAACCCTGTCTCAAAAAACTAAAAAAAAAAAAAACAAGAAACTGTACTCAGTTTTACCCTGGTCTCCAAATAAGTTCACTGGTCTGAAAGAAGACTTGTTTTTTCAGATGTAGGTGTGAATTCCTCTGTGCTGTCCTGATCGAACACACCCTCCCATGACAGAATCATCCACTGATGTTCTGTTGAGGGCTTCAAAGCCCTGGAGAGTGGAGTAGCAAGTAGATAGGTGGATCTGTGTTATTTTCCCATAGGATCCGAGAAGGGAACGGTCTGTCCCACCCACGAGAGCCTCAGGGAGATGACACGCACACAGGGAAATAGCTCCAGGTCCACGTGAGACTAAACGCCACTGTCAGCATGAGACACCTAGCCACACAGCATTCCTGGGGCACGCACTGACTGTTGCAGGCTCTGTCACCCAGGTTGTCCCTGGGGCCTACAGGAGCAGGTGGAACACACAGGAAGAGGGCACACACTTCCTCGCTGTCTGTGGATCTCGTTCTTGTCCTGCTTCCCGCCCATCTGTGCCCGACTAGGCCTCGCTGACAAGTGATGCGAGAGGGCTGAGGAGTAACACACAGGGATGTACTCCCCTGGAGGCTCCTGGCTCGTGTGTTGCTTCAGATACTCCCGGCTTTGGGTGTGTGCTGGGAAAGACTGACAGGTGCCTGAACCCAGCAGAGTCAGCAGGGTGCATCTGCTCTCCCCACAAATCCCGGACAGTCCCTCCACAGCAAACAGAACCCAGTAGGCTCTTCCCTTGTACAGGCCCTGCATCCCCCGGGCTAGGAGTGGGATGCTGGAGTATGGACTTGAAGCTTACTAGAAGTGGGGTGGTGTAATGGAGCTCCATATTCCTGATGGCTCTCCTGTGTGTGTGGCCACTAATGCACCACTCAGCTCTTATTCTGACCTCCCAGAATCTTGAGATGCAGTGCACCAGCATGGTGATGTCATGGATAGTAAGTACTCATTAAATGTGACCAGGAAGAGGCTTGTGCCTCCTTATGGTTGTCCCAGGACTGGAGCAGTCAAGGACCACAAACTGGGTGGCCTAAAATAGATACTTATGTCTCCACAGTGCTGGGCCTAGATGCCCCAGGTCTAGATGGCAGCAGGACCTGCTCCCCACAATGTATGCTTGCCCAGGGCGTGCTCCTTCCGGAGACTCAGAGCAGGAGCTGTCTTCGTCAGGTACAGTTTGGGGCTCTGCAGACATCCCTAGGCTTGTGGCTCCACCTCTCCCTGTGACCCTCTCTCCTCCCTGTGTCTTGTAAGAACACACGTCTTTGCATTTAGGGCCAACCGAATCCAAATGATCTTATCTGGAGATTACATCTGCAAACATCTTTCTCCAAGTAGATCGCATTCACAGATGCAGGGGGTGTCTCCTGAGGTGGTGCCGTTCAGCCGCTGCACCTATTGCTCAGTCCACCTACACTGGCTATTCTAGAACTTGGGTCCTGTAGTACCTGCCAATATGTATCCTTTTTATTTTTTCACTTCCACTACGCTGTTATATTTACAACCCAGGCTGTACTGATTTGATAGTATTAAGATGATCTGGAGCTGGAGAGATGGCTCAGCAGTTAAGAGAACTGGCTGCTCTTTCAGGGGACCTGGTTCGGTTCT